CATTCAATATGAGATCAACCTAGGGGTTACAATAGAAATCTTTAAGAACCCATTAAGATTAGGCAATAAATCATAATCCGATGGCAAAACTACGTCCAACCCAATGACACAAACTTCATAAGGAATTGAAGACTATAACCCACTGATCTTTAAACCCCATAAAATATCCGCTCTCTAGAAAATTCATACTATTTGGTTTAAGACAAATTTTTCATGGGTTTAAAATTCCTACTGTAACCTAAAGGTGAATCTCAAATGGGCTGGATTTTTTCTATGAATTGAAGATCATCTTCCGCTAATCTTCATACCCTTCATACCCTACGAAAAAATTGACCCTCTCCAAAAAGTATGGATTCTATAAAGAGAATTGAAGATTATCTACCACTAACCTCCAAACTCTAGAAAGCTCGCTCATTTAGATGACAAACCCCTAAAGATTAGGCAATAAATCTTAAAGCAATGGCAAAACCGTGTCCAACCCAATAACATGAACTTCATAAGGAATTGAAGTTCTAAAATAATGATTATCCCATTTCAAAAGAACGAAAAATTTCAATGTTCTAATCTCCAATAATATTTAACTACCATCATATCTAATTGTGAACAGCATCTTTTCATCGGGATAGAGCTGCAAAAAATGTAAAATAATCACTAATAATAAGATAGCTAAAGATGGAAGCTTTCTACCAAGTTTATCAACAGAATATAGATGAAATCAGAACACGAAAAATTAAGGTAGCTCCATAAGAAAGTTATACTACAAAAAAATATCAATATCAATGATGTCTTATAAACAGTATTTGGATCACCATTCAATTTTAAAAATTGGACATGGATCATTCTGATTGTTGCCCAAAGAAATATTCAAACTATATTAAATATTACCGTAGAGCAAGCATATTTCTATAACTGTTACAGAGTTGTTAAAACTACAAATGGAAATATTGAGAAAAAAAATGCACTTAAAGAATACAAGATACAGTGAACGGCACAACAAAGAAACATTTCATAGCCTTTTCAGTTATCCAGATTTTGTCTAAAATCCTAAGAGGCGGACAAATGCATACCCAAATATCTTAGACAAACAAGAGACATGTTTCAAATACAGGAGGAAACAGTACAAAAAGATAATACCTTTGTGGTAGATACTTTCCCTGGCAACTTTTCACGTTCTTTGCTACAGATTGGAAAAGCACACATTCCATAAAATTTTCAAAAACCTGTAGTGGCGTAAACAATCAACAGAGAGAGAAAAAAAGCTACAAAAAAATCTTAAATTACATGTTTAAGGACACCATAAAGATCCCCCTTTCCAACCAACCGGCAACCAGTGATGTATCCGTTAAAAACATCATAATTCAAACAAACACTTCTACAGTTCTATATTAACTTTTTCATATAACGCAACCATTTAAATTATTCAACAAATTACTTGAGTTGCATATTCCATTTAATATTCAATATCACTGCAGTTCATGATTTAATATCCCTCGAGATAGAGAACTTATCTTTGTCAACGTGATAATTCCTCGTAATCAGAAAAAAAAATAATAATAAATAAAGTTAGCAATAGGAAAATTGTTAATGAAGTATCCAAAGTTAAACTATCATCTAAACAAGCATTACATGCAACCAAGAAAACAGGTTAACCAATGAAATATCTTCTATTTTCGTGATTCGTGAACCCAAAAATGATTTCTATAGTATGTTGAAAAAACAGGATTTTATTTGTCTAACTTCTCACTATATTTCAATGCAATTAGTAGAGTTAACTTGGATTCAAGATTACTGATCCCGAAAAGTTGGGGAAAACAAGAAAAACAAAAATAATTAAAACAGAACAAAAAGGAAGCTGAAATTGAAAACAAACCAGCACAGCAGCAGCAAGTCCGAAGCATATTTTCCGAGATCTCGAGGCAGGAAGGATCACTGTCCACAACCAGAACACGAAAAAACTATTTCATGTGGCTTCGATCCAATGTCCACTCACAAAACCCATCTGTGGCACCCAACAATAATCATAATGCGGTTGCCTCAGAGAAAATAAGAGAATAATCTAAGTGGAGCAACATACCGATTGAGAAATCCATAATCTTCGGTCTTTCTTAACTGGATTCGATTATGGGTCCTCTCTCTGAATAACTGGACTGTTAAAGTGTTTTGTCGTGCTAGGTCACTGATATATCCTTCATCTCAATCTACCAAAATAAATAATAATAATAATAAATAGAAAAGACATCGCCATGGACATGCAACCCTAAAATCAAACAATAATCTGAATCCTCTCAACTTGAAATCAAAGACAGAAACAAACCAAGAGAACGATCCCAAAATCTTAATCATTCGTCAGAAGCCGTCGAGGTAGGATCGAACACTTCCACTACGTCGACATCTCATCGTGGGTGATCGAGGGTCTGTCTCAATTGGATCTAACGAAGAGAACGATTTAGGGACTTGGTGGGATCTAACCAAGAGAACGATTTAAAGTTCCGGCAGGATCTGATCGAATTAGGGTCTGTCTCATCGGAAAGTGATCAAATGAACAATTTAGGGTTCCGGCAGGATCTGATCAACCGGAGGATTTAGGGCTTCGAAGACAGAGACGATGGAACTGGAAGGTGAACAGAGAAAAATAACCGATTATTTAATCAAGTACAAAGAGAAGAATGAAGAATTTCATCGGGACTAGATCAAAAGAACAAATTAGGGTTCCGGCGGAATACAACCTAGAGGACGACGATTTAGGGTTTGAAAATAAGAGAGAAAAATGGGAGCGTCGAAGAGGAAATTTTGGGAAAATGAGTTGAAACGTTGTTCATCATCGGAGAAAAGTTCCGAAGGAGCAACGGAAACAAAATAGCGGGAAGTTCAAATGAGAAGTTGCGTGCTCAAAACGATATCTATCTTTATTATTAATAATAAAAATATTAATAAAATAACTGTAGAAGCCTGAAGTGGCCCATTTCTTTATTTTGCAAAGGGCCGTGGCCCATTTCGCTGCATACAGGAGCTCAAGCCGACCGATTACGATTAAATTATTATTATAAAAAAAAAAAAAAAAGAATTCCATTGGGACGGAGGAAGTTACCGTTGGAAAGAGTATAGACAACTAATTTACAGCTAATTCGTTAAATCGTTTTATTTCTTCCCCAATTTTCGGGATTTTTTCAGTTCTACTAACCAACCTTAATTAAAATTTTAAAAACAGACCAAATAGGGTGCCGCGACTATTATATTTTTTCTGTGAGGATTATTTTCTCTCTCTTCTCGTTAAGATTGTAATAAGAGTGTATTATTAAAAAAGAAAAATAATAATAATAATAAATTATTTCATTCTACCCAACCAACTTGATGAAACTTAAAAATTCAACATTAAAATTTGATTTGATTTGAAATTTATGAGTCACACGTCGATTTTGTATATATCAATTTAACTTAATTTCCAGATATCTTCTATAACTACCGTTAATAAGACAGAACAATAATTTTTAAAAAAATAATAAATAAAAAAGGATGAGTTTTTCCCCCAAAAAATTAAGATTAAATTTTCTTTTGAAAGAAAGAAAAAAAAAAAGAAAAACATTATTTAAATTTAAGCATTCAATTAATTGAATTAAATCGAATTTTAAAATTAATTATTTAAGTTTATTATTCTTAAATTTATTTAATATCAAAACATAACTATTAACTACATATACATAATCGCTAAAAAGAAAAACTACATATACATAAAATTGAATTATAGTTCGTATAAATATATATTTTCAATAAAATAAAACTATAAATCTTCATGATTACAATTGAAACAATTATGTACATATCTATAAATTAAAAAATATATATATTCATATTATACGTTAGGAAACTTTAATATTCATAATCGAGAGAGGTGAAACTGAAGCAATTAATTTATTAAGAAATATTGAAGCAATTAAATCAGCATACAATATCAATGACATTAATCTTCTCAAAATCACCAATCACCAATACCTTTAAAATCATGCTCTGCTGTTGTTGTCTTTCTTTACTATCACAATTTGTGATAGTTCGACATTGAGCCTCACCGATCGAACTTTTAAAAAAATAAAAAGAAAATATTCAAATTCATACTGACCCTTTGCTTCGAACTTGAACCCACTTTTAATGTAGAGTAATAATGCTCGTATAATTCTAAGACCCAAAATGAAAAAAGAAATTGAAAATTTCCATAAACATCTTGTATTATGTCATAATCGCCTTCGAAAGAAGATATAAATCATCAAACAATTGGCTGAAACTTGTGATTTTTTTTCACTACATTAATTTGTTGTGATTTTTTTTCACTACATTAATTTGTTTACATTTACCAGTACTCACCGACGATGCATAACTCATGCATCATGCATTTACATCTATATTCAATTCAATATATTTTTTAATATTCGTGAGTATCCGGACCAACTTACGCGCATCTTTGACTAATCTCATGTTAGATAGATGTATGTAGAATTATCTTTGAGAAGGAAACTATTTAGCTCGAATTTTAGGATATGATTTTTTATGAAGAGAAAAATTGGAATTAGAGAACCCGTGAGTGGATTGAATTTCTCAATACAAGATTATTTTCAACGTTTTAAATAAGAGCTATTTCTTACATAACTCATGGCCAATCTATTTTTCGACATTTAAAATCACATCTCCCATACTCCCACAAGGTGACCTTGGTGGTAACGGTCTAGAGTCTCTTGGTCATACCAGGTCTCAAGTTCAAACATTCGAATAAGCTTAATATCAAAATCATCAATGTCTTCCACGTGACCAAGCTTTGACTCTCGATTATTAAAAAATAAAAAATAAATAAATAAATAAATCCCCCATCTATGCTACTCCCAAAATCACTTTTAGGCTGTTACCAAACATCCCGATGTGCCAATGCCTCATGACTTCCAACGTGACATTGAATGGGAAGAGGGTTCGGGACATAGTCTGATAGAAAAGGAGGGAGAGCTGTGTCTCTCAGAAAAACGCAGTCTTAGTCGAATGCCTCGATCAAAGAGACGTGTTTGAACAAACACAAAAATCTACCTTTTTCCCTAAATAATTTTGAAACTACCTATTTTCCTAGTTCTTTTAAAAAATAACTATACTTCTCCAAAAAAAGTCAAACGAGATACAAGAACATTTGTATAGGCTTCACAATAAGCAATTTTAATCGATAATCGAGATATAAGGGTCTCTTATCTCGCACAAAATTTTATTAGGAAAACGAAACAAAATAATAAAAGTGATTAATATCCATTTCCTACCAATTAAATACCCATAGCGATCTGGTACAACTATAAGAACTCAAAGAATTTTGAAGAAATGGTTAGTAGAATATTTGCGAAATAAAAACTTGCATTTCCAGCATCCATCAAGCATAATGGTAGGAGCTGTGAAGATATCAAAGCATTGAATCAGCTTACCTTCACATTATTTGACGAGTCATCCGAACGAGGCCAAAAGTTGACAAGGAAGGAGTCGATAATAATCTACCAAATAAGAATACTTTCATGTCAATTGAATTGGAAACGAAATTATGAGATACTTGAAGGGTTGAGTCTCTAAGAAACCTGGATTATATGTGCTGCAACGCAGGGAAGAACCAGCAAACCGGATTTGCCGAGTGCGCCACGAAGCTGTTCGACGACTGCCACCATTACAGGCAGAGTTTTCTGCAAAGTCTACACATGAGTGCCCAATTCAAAGTGTTTAACATATATCTAATAAGTCTCGGACTTGTATTTAATTAGTTGAACGAAGATAGTGTAATGTGTCCATTGTACTTTACAAGTCTTCGTCACATGTCCAACAAGTGTCCAAGTGTTATTGTATACAACGTGTTCATTGTCTATAACGTGTCGAACACGGGCACATTACCAAATCTAAAGTGTATGTGCTTTACAGAAAACCACAATCACACACACAAAAACGAACCTTTTTTTTCCCTTCTGTCCACACAGATATGTAAAAAGAATCAGGACTGATTTCTCATAACTTTGTCAGTAATGTGTTACATGATTACTCATTTTCAAAAGCACGATATAATGTACCTGACTTGCCACAAGCAAAACGGCACTGGCATTTCTTCTCCTTGAGAAAACAGATTGACTGCCACCAGAAACGGCTGCTAGGATTCGTATACCAAGAGCATTAAAGGCTAATAAGCTGAGATGCAAGAATCTGAAAAAATTAAAGCGTATCAGTTTTTTTACGTGGCATCAATCTGAAAACAAAAATATAGTGATTGACCAGTAAATTCAAGGCTTTTTGGTAACATACGTTCCCATTCCTATGGCTACGAGAAATGCTTCAGGCTTGACCATCAGAAGTAGTGACCTTGATTTGCTCACTTGCATCCATGGCACCTGATCTTAAAATGTTATAATCTGATTAACGGATTCCATCAAATAAAAAATTGAAGCTCTTCTATCGAACCACTTATCTAGTATAAGCTGAAAATTATTTATTAACAATATGTCTACCAGTATGTTGAGCAATTATTTTTACTTTCTGAAAAAGAATCAGAAATTACTATAGTGCACTTATATATACATATAGGCGAATATTATGGAGAAAACAATACTCCAGCAATCATGAAGTGGAGATGATGAAGACAATGAATTAGTGTCTCACAAGACTGAGAAGGATTGCATTAATCCTTGGAAAAAGCTTCCGATTTTCATCAACAAAGTCCGCCACTCCTAAGATCAAGATTAAAAAGAGAAATAGAAACAATGACTTGTAGGCACACAAAGGATAATTATCATAACAAAATTAAGAACAATCTACGGTTACGCACACTTCATGCAAGCTAGCCAAGAAGCAAACTTGAACTTAGGAAAGTGAATGATACCGACTATAAATCACCTTTGAATGATTCTCTCAAGATCTGTCCAAAAAAAAAGGACAAAATGGTAAATAAATAAATAAATTACTTGATAACAAAGGGAGAAAACCAGTGACACGGTCACATTTCAAAAACTAAGATACACGCAAGATCTATTTCATGGTATACCAAGAAATTTCTGCAACATGACAACTTAAAGTAAAGCATGCAGCAAAAAGAAACAAGAACCAGAGGGTAAGGAGAAAAGAAGAAACTGAGCTTTTTAATTTTCCTTTTCAGAATGCCTCTTTCACATTCAAAAGTAAATTGTAAATGACTCATCTAGTTTGCTGCAAACAATGCCCAAGTTGAGAAAACTAAAGTTTGTTTGTGTAATTGGAGGTTGAAGCCTCGTGCTATTACATTAGCCAAATATAAAAAGTTCCATGTCAGGAGGAATAAGCCACGGTAAATTATATATATATTCACCGTCAAAAAGCATGGTAAATTAGGTCAACTTTATCACAAGTTGCTACAGTACATGCATCCCTATCATACGTTTCTTAACAACAATAGCGTGGAACTGTAAAAAGTGAAATATAATAAGCTTTGAGATAAGTCTTTCATAATAGATTCTTCAAAGAAAAATCAGTTCACCTTCCCAAAAATGAGAGGAATTAGCAGCATAAGCACGAGACTTCTGAATAACTCCTTCGTTGGAACAGTGATACCAACTCCATCAGCTACAAATTTTGAGATGGAAAATGGAATCTAGAATGTCGAAACAATTAGCCAGTCAAAACTTTAACTTGATGATAACAATGCTACAATTAAGCAGATGAACAGATTATTTCAAGGAATGAAAGAGAAAGGCATGATAATTAGTAAATATGTGTCAACTCTAGCTGCTTCTGTGCCCCTTTCAAGAGTCGAGGCGAAGGACTGTACTGTGGATGGATGTCGTGAAAATAGCTTTAAGAAAATAATAAAAATAATAAGTAGCTGGAAAGTAATACTAGGCTTCACCGGGAAGGATTTTTTTTGGATGTTTGGGAGACTACCATCTTTCCTATCAGTACGTTTCTTATAAAATAATAATAAAAAGAATTGGCTCTTCTGATGGCTAGTGCCCTTAAAAGTTGGAGGGATTCAATGGATATTAAACATATGGCTAGTGATCTCTTTAAAAATGGTGATTTTGCTACCATCAACTACAAGGTCTATCTAATCTTGCCTCACCTTATAACCTCCCTGTGTGTACAGAAGCATGAGGAGCAATCTTCAAACATTCTAGAAAGGATTGTGAGAGACCTCAATTAGAGAAACAATACGATTTTAAACATCGTGTAAATGCATATTATACTTGAACCAAAAGATACCATATAGACAACCATTATTGGTGATTAAAGACCAAAAAGGACTGTGCTTGAGAATTAACGTGCAACTGTCTGGAAATGATTGAAGAAAAGTAGCATTGAAAGTGGTTTTATATATATATATATTTATTTATTTATTTATTTTTAATGAAAAGTCAAGGTTTCATTGTGAAGAATGAAAGAATAAAAAATCATATTTGGATAAACCTAAGGGTATATTTTCAACTCACAGCCAATATTCCCAGCATATTTGATATCACTGTCATTGCCAGAGCAAGTGCAGAATTCCCACCAGCAAGCTGGGTTTGAAAAACATAAATGCAATAAGAACAAAGTATTGAACATTTTTTTTTTCTAGGGAAGAGAGGAAAAGTAACTCTCATACCTGAGTCAGTGCCACACCACTTGATAATGTAGTAGGCATGCATGTAAATATTGCTAATCCTGTAAACAGTGGAGAAACAATGGGTTAGATGATGGATTCAAGGGAAAGTTAGTTCCTTATTCCAGATTTATGAAAATTGAGTTTCTTATCTAAACAAATATTTGCCTAATTGCCTCCTAGGTTTTTGCAATTTCGTGTCAGATCAAAGTCTGATTTCTTTAGAGTTCCACCACAAATAGGAGATATTAAACTTCTCACAGTACTCAAATCAGTTGAATTTGTAGTTTTGTACCTTGTTTTTCTTTGACCATTTTCCACTACAATAGCATCAACTTAAAGCAACATTTGACAGCATTACTGCCAGATAAAGGATAAGGTAGACACTCTCTAACCTAAGAGAAGATGACTTATCAACAACAGTGATTACAATGACTAAAAATAATTTGATTAAGAACAGCATTTTCAACGACAAAGAACAACTTTTTGAACGGTTTTTTGACACCATTGTTTTTTGGTTATATCTTGGTGTAAATGCTCTCCTCTCTTTCACAACTATAGCTTTTCAACTCTATTTTACAGTTGGAGAAGCACTCTATAGCCCTCACATGGGCCTCATTTGTAATCCCTCCTACGGGCCACTCTTGTAATTTCATACATCAATGAAATTGTTTCTTTTACAAACAAAAAAAATAATAATTTGATTAACAAACCTGTTACAAATTCTTGAGGATGGAGATGAATTTGTAATATCAGCCTGGAAAAGTATGGAGTAAGCAAAAGAATAGAAGCCTGACAATAAACGAGAGAGATAGAGAGAGAGAGAGAGAGAGTGAATACAAGCTTAACAAGTATACCCAAATTTACATAATAGAGCAAGTCAAACACATGAATTGAGTATACCATAGAACCTGTTACCCATTAACAAGCCAAGCACAAGGACCGTCAGGACTAAAAAAGCAATCATCAATCCTCACCCCCAACACAGATATTAAAAGAAGAAAAAAGAAAGTCCTCTGTAACTCTAACATCCAACGTCAGTGTAGAAAACCTCTTCAGACTAGTCTACTAAGTGCTCAAATTAAAAGTCTAGAATGATAAAAAGTGACATAATATGACTATTGGAATTGGTTCTGTATCAATGGAATCTCATCGTTCATATATAACGAATTGATGTGGTATATTGATTAATATCATAACATATGAACACTAAAAACTAGCATTCTTATTGAGACCGAACTAATAGAAATTATCACTGCACAGATGACAGAATGAATTTTAATGGGTCTGGGAAGTAACTTCACTAATAATAGAAAAGATGTACATGGCTTGGGCTTTCACGTACAAAAGTTAAACCACAGTTCTAACAAAAAACAAGAAAGGGAAAAAACATGATTATAAACTTACAAGCTAAAGCAAACATAATGGAAGATAATAAGTCAGGATCATACAAGCCCATAAACTGCAACAGGCCATGCCTCAACTGAAGCACTGATTTCTGCAGTACGCAATGTCAACCCTGCGTAGTCACCGCATAAATAAAATACCGAACTAGGGGACAAACTTCACAATTTATGTTGACAAGTGGTACAGTTCCTAACCTGAGACGACAAATATCCCAACTGTGCTAAACTTTGAGAGATAATACCTATCAGCAAGACAGCCAAGACTCGGATTTGCAAATCCTGCTGCTACAGCAGTGACAAGAGCTGCATATGGAATTGGGGTGAGGAGAGGAATACAAATATGACGAATGAATGTCATTTCAGTTCAAGTGAAATCATGAACAAAAAAATCTTACCTAGTGGAAGAAAGTTATCATCTACAAAATTCGACAAAGCCTTAAACCAAATAACCTCGTTTCCCGAACCCAAAACACCGGTAGGTTCGTTTATCCTTCCACCCTCGTCTTTCTGAAACACAATGATAAAATCTCTTCTCAAAAACCATGCAGTTTCGTGATCGATAAAACTTACGTTAAATTCAATCGAAAATGTACAAATTTCTTTTAATCGACATTAATTCCGGCGACTAGACCAAGCAAATGAAAAATTGCCAAATATCCGAACGGAGAGAAGAGAACGTAACCTTATCGGGCAATCCGCAGGCTCTGATGGGTCTGAAAATTTGGCGTTTATGATTCAAATCGATAGAACTGGTACGCAACAGTGAGCCATTGGAGGAGAGACGTGAAATTTGGAGCCGAAACGCCAATGGATTGCTCCGTGGAGAAGAGAAGAGGAAGCTGTGGAGGGATTGAGTTCCCGCCATCGCTATAGGATTGTGCAGGAGTGAGGTTTCTTCTTCAGTTATTGTATATCGCTTGTTTACAGTCAACGGTCAACCGTGGTAGAACGGATGGGAAAAATGTGGATAATTTTGCCCTAATTTTGACCTGTTGCCAGCTGTAAAACAGTTGTGTAATTGCAACTATGCTTGTATAGTTCCGAATATTGACGGCGGTAAATATGCTATAATTAATGGTTAAATTATTTGTTTTTCCTCTAAACTTTGTATAACTTTTAAGCCAAATATATGAAAGAGTGGTTTTTTTTATAGAAAATATATGAAAGGTGGTTAATTCAATATTTTGGTTTTCTTGAATTAATTAAATATTAAAATTAAGATAAGTTTTATATTTTTATTTTGTATTCTATTTTTAAATACCAAGTGGATTCGCAATTTATTCTTAGATTTTTAATTTTCTTTGAATGATGTTATTAAATTAATATTTTGTTGTTTTGTTAACATGCTACTTAAATAATAACCGACACATAAAACGTAAGCAACTTAAATAATAAATGACTCCTAAAACGCAGCTTGTCATCATCAAAATTAGACTGGTTCATAATAATTTCATATACATAATTTTTTAAATATCACAATGTTTCATCTTTTTCAAACGTGATATAAAGTTATTCATGTCTCATTTGAGTTTGAGTATTATTAATTAAATTATGATATCTTATAACATTAAAAGCTTATGGCATATTTGAAAATATGTATTTATTTTGTTTAATGATGTATTTATTATTTGTAATGCAATAAACCTTTTAAACAAATAATTTTGATAAATAATTTATCTTTTAAACAAATAAATAGATGAAAATAAAGTGTCGGACTTTTTTCCTTCAACTTTTTTCAAAAGGAAAATTAGTTTTTTAAGAGAAAATATAGTTTTATTAATTAAAATACACTTGAGGTACATATAAAGGGAAATATCCTTGAACAATGTTCGATAGCCACGAAGGAAGTTAATCTGATAAAAAAATAAAAATAACGTGGCAAATTAAGAAGCCTGTGTTGTGCAAACTAAGATGTGAGAATGAAATTGAAGAAAAATATAGGAAAAGGTTTTCCACTCCCGTCAACCAATCACCTAATGTTGATTTTGTCTCCTCTTGTAAGTTGAATTGTCGTGAGATATTAAGATTTCACTTTAAGACGAAGGTGATGCAAGAAAATATGTCATTGAGAGTCTTAAAGGAGAGGTCCATGCTAGCGAGATTATCGACAAATAACGTCCGCATTTAAGTTTATAGAGTCAAAGATGAGTATGATAATCCAGATTATGGCAAATATGGGGGAGTACGTATGAGAGTCAATTAGCTTTAAAACGTTATATGTCACTAAAAATTGTCAACGTGAAATCCAATCCAATCGCATTTGGAACCAGCTTTTGGGAGGTGATTACCATGGAAGGCATAATTTCGATCCGCCCAGATAGCCCATTTGTTAATTAATTTTATTATAATTTTATTGATAGGAGAAGGTGAACCCAGGTTGTAATAAATTATAGGTTTTGATTCGAGGGGAAAGGGGGCGAAAGAAATAGCGAAAGCCACGTTTTCCTTGCTCATTTACCAAAGAAAATTTAATGGGAGATTATTTACATATCGGTGTTACAACTATAGCAAAAAAGTGAGGCTTATAATCATCTTTTATGTGAGTTTGATGCCTCCCGCGCCTTTTTTTTTTTAGATTTTTTGTTGTGTCCCTCTCTTTAAAGGGCGATGGTGGCAGCCATTCAACCATTACAGCTGGCGTCGACCAACTTTGAGATACGAACGGACAGAAAACAGAATGCAGTGAAAATGTAAAAGAGAAGAGCAAATATTTTCAACCCAGAACAGGTTATCGACTAAACCACAAATATGTTGAATGAAGGTAGCTATGTAACCATTGATTGAATATGTTCATGAAGAACATATTTTTATTTTTTGATGGAACATAATTTTTAATAAATACAAAACTTATGCTTACATAAGCATAACTCAATTGGTTAAATATACCAATCTCGAGGTCGCGAGTTTGAATTTCTACCTCCCACTTGTTATATTAAAAAAATAAACCAAATACAAAACTTAGAATGATAAATCTATTAGTAGATTCGAGACCTGAATGAAAATAACGTTGTAGAAATTATTTTATTATTCTTATTTTATCTTGTATTTATTTGGAAAAGGTAGAACTTACTTTCTAATAATTCATCTTGAGTGAAGATACTTATTTGTTATTATTTTTTTAAAATAAACCGAGCTAAATTCCCGCAATTTATTGCCACTATTTATTAGTTGATTGATGACTTTTTTTGTTTTTACCATGACAGTTATTTATTAATAATTATTACAGTTTCCCAAACCGAACAAACCCTAGATCAAGTCGAACCGAAAAAACCATAGACCGGACAGGACCGAACAAGCCCTAGATCAAAACCGAACCGACGGTGCAACATATGCGTCACCACCACGCTTCCGCTAGGTATTTAAGAAGAAGAATTCTCCAACTTGCAAGAAAAGCGAGGGAAGAATGAGGGGCTTGGGAAGCTTAATTGTGCGAGTCCGAAGAATACCTAGAATGGATTCTCGCGGAGCTGGGAAGATCCGACGCATTTCCACCGCTACAACTTCTTCTCTATTTGGCGGTGAAGACGCTGCTTCGTGTTCTACGACGTCTAGGTCTTGCTCCAATTCTTACTTGCGCTCCTGGAAATGGAACCAATTCGGAGGTAAGTGGATTTTGATGAATGGAAAAGTTGCATATGTAGTGTATTTTTTGTATCATCTGTCGGGCGATCACCGATCGTGACTTATTTAGTTTATATTGCATTCAGGACAGAGGAGAACAATGTTTATCCAAACTCAATCGACACCCAATCCTTCGTCTCTCATGTTTCATCCTGGAAAGCCTGTTATGGAAGTCGGGAGTGCGGATTTTCCAAATGCGCGTTCTGCCATGAACTCCCCACTTGCAAAAGCCCTTTATGGTATTGATGGTACGTATTCTGGAATTATATTTCTTTTTGGATTCAATACAACGTTTTTCAATTTTATTTTTCACGGTATATTATAATTTCCGAGTGTGAATTCCTTTAATTACCATTTAATTTCCTAAATGTGATGACTGGGGTTCTGCAAACATGTTGATGTTCGCATATGATTATTTTCTAAACAGAAGTTTTTTTGTTTTTTTTTTTGTTGAGAAAGTCGAAAAAGAAGTTAGTAAGTCATTAACGTTGTCTTTTATCTGATTACATTGATTGATTTATGGACTTTGAATAAGTGAAACCAGCATTAAGTGTAAACATGGGTTACTGGTGTACTATGCTCGTGATGAATATTTATCATGTAGAAGGGTGGAGGGCTGGAGGCGTAGAGGCAGGACATTTTTTCTGATGGCTGTTCGAAGAGTGTAATTAGTTTCCCTATAGGTTCGATAATTTTGCTTTTCATTTTATAGTGCAGGAGATGAAAGTTAAACTGAGTCCTGGAACCATGCGAATAAGAATCTTTTGATCTAAGTGTTTGGAACTTGAATGGCTGCAGACACATTGCTGATTCACATTGATTTGATTTTTTTAGTCTTTACCTCTTTCAATTGAAAACTGAGCTTCGGAATATCTTTGCTTGTGAGTATAGATAAGCTGCGCAGTGTAATGAATAAGTGGTACTAATCCAGATATAGATCATGGATGGTTACCTTACCAAAAATAACCATGCAATTTTATCAACTCTAATGATAATTTTGTCACTTCTTGTTATCCCATATGTAACGTTGTTGAATGTTAGTTTCAATTTTAATTATTACAAGCTGTTGATTTAGTGATGGTTACAGGTATACTTACTAGTTGTATTGATGGTTGGTGTGGGGCTTACTTGATTGCTTCTGTAGGTGTTGTACGAGTCTTCTTTGGATCAGATTTTGTCACTGTAACAAAATCGGAAGATGCTACTTGGGATTTCCTAAAGCCCGAAATTTTTGCCGCAATCATGGACTTCTATTCTTCTGGGCAACCACTGTTTCTAGACTCTAAAACTGCTGCTGCCATGGACACAGCCATCAATGAGGTATGTCTTTTAACTGCAAATTAATGCACATTCCTGTTAGATTTTTACTCGCTAAGAAACAAATTCATTTTTTAGAGCACATGTTGTTCTATTTGCTCTGAACTAAAAGTTGATGTTCTTACATATTTTTTTTTTCCCTGGGGATGTTTATGATAGTTTTATATTAGATTGTGTTTTGATTGAAAATTATGAACTTCTGTTTTGTTCTCTTTCCTCACTTTATATACCCTATGCTAATGTAATAAAAGGTAGAATGAGAGTTCCTTGGTGCAACACCGCTAATGAAATACATAGATTTTTAACTGTGTCTTAAATATTTATATAGAAGTATGAACATTTAATGTCATCATACTTAAGATTAAAATTACCATAATGTGGTGCCTTGCAGTTCTTTCACGGTGATGTTACTTCTACTGAAGACTTGTGCACCATATTCTTATTGAACTTGCAATATTATAATCTTATTCTTTTTTGGATAAAACTTTGGCTAATTACTTGTTTTCTGATCCCCACATACATCTTTTTTATGAAATTCAATTTTTCTTAGTCAAATTAGTAAGCTTTTGTTTTACGTTTTTTTCCCCTTCCTTTTCTTTCTTGCCTTCCTTTCCAGCTTTTCCATTAATACAAAAGGAGGATGCATGCTATTGCGCCTCTTGGAGACCTAGAGAATTGAAAAGGATTTCGCATAAATTTACTTCAATTGTATTCTCTGTTTTCAATCAATGAAATTCTCTTGTTAGTTGTCATTACAATTAATATGTTTCTTCAATGAAGTAGAGTTACTTATCTAAAGAATGATTATGTCAATATCTTCTGTCTGATGTCAAAATTTCGTTTGTAATATTTAATTTTGAGGTTTAACTTTACGTCTGTTGTTTACATGCTGCAAATTTTGAAACTTTCCTAAAGAGGTATATTTGTCATGTTGGAATTGGAAACATCATATATTTTATTTTATTTTTTTAGTAGTTTTTTTTTTTTGGATACAGCTCAATTCTTAGTAGATCCGTTCACTTGTGCCTACTTTTTAGGATGATTCTGAAATTGTTGCAATGATCAAAGAGCTGCTTGAGACTCGTATTCGACCTGCAGTTCAAGATGATGGTGGAGATATTGAATACAGGGGATATAACGAGTAGGTTTAGCTGGATCCAGTTGAAGGTGTTTCTTAAAGCATTTGAGTTGTATGCATGATTGCTTATATCTATTGAAGTTTACGCTTCTGTCTTCTTCAGAGAAACTGGTATAGTCACACTGAGAATGCAAGGAGCATGCAGTGGCTGCCCAAGCTCATCTGTCACTCTAAAATCTGGCATTGAAAATATGTTGATGCATTATGTACCTGAGGTAAGATTGATATGATCTTGGTATTTTTGTAAGCTTATTTTTAATTAGAAGCATATCCAATTTGTCACTTGCACAATTAGGTGTGCCGTATGTCCTTGCAAGCATTTTTGGCATAGTTGCTCGCACATGTGGCTTTTGTTTCCTGATATTTTATATTAGCAGCATCTTTTATATGATACCTGAGGTGTCCTACAAGCATAGTTATTCTTCGCATTTGGTTGCATACTGGAAGTGGAAGTATTGAGTTTGACTACACAACAGCTGAAGTGGAAGGATTTTTTTTTCTAAGATAAAGAGGAGTTGAAGCCTGAAGGACATTGAATCTTATTGTTATGACTACGAACTGTTGGTTTTCAACTTTTTTATCCGTCCATGGTAGTCAACTTCGTATAGGGCACCTGATTAACAAAGGCTTGTTATATTCAAGATAATATGTTCATATTTTACCAAATATAATCTTATGGAATGCAACATGCTCTAGTTGGATAACAAGAATGCCGAGGGGCATGTCTGATAAGAAAAAAGGTATTGCATCCTAGAGAGCCAATCTAGAGAAATCACTTTAAATGTGAAATATAATGAATGATGTTTCAGGGTTGCGCAGCCCAATTCAAATATATAGATTTTTTCCTCATCTTTTGTTCTTATGCTTCTCTGAATTATATATTATATATTTTAAATTTATTATCTATGATTTGATAGTATATTCTCAATTTATAGGTGAAGGGCGTGGAACAAGAATTTGATGTTGAGGAAGAGGATGCAATATCGACCAGCTAGATGGAGTAAAAGATAGATAAGTTTGTCAATTCATTCTTTGTTAGGTTGAGCAACAACACTGATCTTGAGGAGGGTGACCAGGCGGGTGCTTGTTTTTACGCAGAAAATAAAAAGGCCGTTGAGGTTAAATTATTTCATGGTTTATAGAGTAAGAGTACCTTGTAATTTTATTGCTAGCTTAGCATTATTTTGTTGCATTTACTAAAATATTTTGGATATGAGGAACATATATGATAATGTAAGATAAATTTGATCGTTCGTCCAGTAATAATAATTTTTGTTCTAGTCTTGGGAATGGAATGTTCAGACGATTTCAAATTTCTTTAAGAAATGGAACTTCTGCTGCTGCTGGTAAAGATACCATCTAATAGGATTTGAAGTGTTAGTAGAAGCCATAGTTCTCTAAGGTTGAGATTTTAATTTTTGATTAAATTTAGTTGGAGCGACTGTATTAATGCAGAACTTTATTACCAAGTTGCTTAATCTTTTTGGCAATGCATGTCAAAAAGCATGGATGTTTCTATTTTATATCTGCGCATAATGATTTGTGATTATGACTTTGTAATGTTTAGATTTCCACATGACCTAATGATTCATGCTGAGTGTGAATATTTAAGGTAAAATTGGCATGCTGCAGCAACCAGCATGTTTCTACACGTTCCGGTGTGGCAATTCATGTGAGTGAGAGGCATAACGCAACAACTTCTAATGCCTTCAATTTGGTATAGGTTTTCTTTTCTGAATATTTAATGTTTAGGATAGATGTATAATGCATTGTACTTTGGATGATATGGACGACCTTGATTTGGGTTTTTTTTTTTTTTTGGTAATTTTGTCAATATCTTCTCTCTAAGATTTGTATATAATTTTTAGTTTGAATGTGGATTTGGTCATAATTTATTTTAACAAGTTTTCTATTTTGGTTTCTTTATTGCATATAGCGACGGGTGGCAAGGCCAATTCTTTGGATGCCCAGTAGGCACTTTAGTCACTTTCAAACCTCTCGTCGAAAGTTGCCGTGTTCAATTTTTCTTTTTTCAACACCTTTAACAAAGCAAGGTTACTTTTACGAGCACAAAACCCTCTTCAATATTGAACTAAGCTTATTTTTATTTGCATTTTCAGTTATTTTTAATCTTACTAAAACTCTTACCCATTATAATGTCCTACCAAATAGGCAATTAAAAAATAAAATTATTTTAAAACATTAATACCAACCACATTAATAGCAAATATGTGTTGTTACCTCTTTTGTAGGTCACTTGCGAATGGGGGAGTCGTGGATTTGGAAGCTTTCAACTTTCAAGTCTCTACCCAATAACAAAGACTATCAAAAGGAGGTAAAAACATGAGTTAAGTGAGAGTTATTTTATACAAGGTTTCTTCCAAATGAAACCAATTAGAGAGATGTCAGTTTAAACCTAGTTCGATAAAGATATATATATCATTGATCAAGTGGTAGAAAGTTATTTTATTTTCTGTTCAGATCAATGTCTTTTTTTAGTACAATATGTAGGGTGGGGGATCGAACTCACAATCTCATAGTTAAAGATATATGTCAATTATTGTGGAGCTATGCTCACTTTGGTATTAATGTACTAGGTAAAACAAAAAACTCTGTGATTAGGAAAATTTGGAATGAAAGTGGCCATCTACGCAATAAGAATAAAGGGATTTTTTATTTTTATTTATTATTATTATTATTTAAGAAATAAGAGAGGGAAATTTATTGTAGGGAACCTAAAAGAGCGAAGCCACAGGCCCCACAACACAAGGTAGAAGTAGAACTCAATCTTCCACGCGCACTTAAAGCAACGCCACAAGCCTTCCACGCGCCAACTCGTGCGCGCGCATGCCCCGCCCAGCCGCCACACAGCACATAACTTCCCTTTACGTCTCCAAAATCACATACACAACCTCTATTCAGTCTGATCACAGTTTTTAAATTCTTTTTTTTTCTCAATTCTTAATTTCAATTTTGTCTTTTACTAGAAAAAAAATCAATTTTGTTTAAATAATTTTAAAATTTTAATTATGTTCTTATGATCTAATAAAACTTCATAAATTGTTATTTATGTTACCGTATTTTAAATATATGATTCTTTTGACATCAAAATGAGATAATGTTTGTTATTTAGCTGATTATGGCTGGATAAAAAATATGAAAAAATAACCGAGTTTTTCAAGTAAGTAAAATATTGTTTATGATAGTTTGTGAGTTTAACCAATTTACAAAGATCAAATTGAAACTTTAAAAATTATGAGGACTAAATTGAACCAAGAAGAGACCCTAAAAGACTAAATTGAAAAGTGAAGTTACATTTTGTTCAAAATTTAATTACCAAATTTGTAATATCTCGTATTTCTTTGTGCAGCAGTATTCTTGTTCACAAATTACAGCGTGGAGACACGTGCCATCTTGAATTAAATTGAACCAATCAGCTTCCTCTATATCTCCCCCACCTTAAATTTAGCTGTGTCCTAAATTCAATCATAGAACCATTTGTCCATCTCTTTCCTCTTATCTGAAATCTTGGATTATCAGTTGGACTCATATCTCACAGACAACAGTGTCTTTGTCTACAAAAGCCCCAGAGGCCTCGTTTTGATTTGATTTGATTGTGTTCCAAAGACTGTGCTTGGGTTTGGGTGTGGAGATGCATTACTCGGCCTGGAAAAGTGGGATCGGAGAGCTGAGGCCTCTGGTTCACCTGCTGTTGCCACTATGTGTCCACTGGATTTCTGAAGAAATGACTGTCTCTGTTATTGTTGATGTGGTTTCTAATGCTCTTTGCCCTGCCAACCCCACTTGTCCTCAAGCCATTTACTTAAATGGGACTGAGCAAACGGTAAATTTTCCATCTCTTTTCATGCTCCCTCGCCTGTTTCTCTTTTTCTGCTGCTTCTGAATTTCACACACCATTTTCTGGATAGTAATGCTGCTGGGGGATCTTTGCTGTCCTTGATTCTTCAAGTTTGGATGGCAACTTGACTAAATTGTTCTTATAGATTATGCTACTCCCAGAATTTGAAAATTACAGTAATAATGGTTTCGATTTTAGTTTTCTGTTTCTGTACATTAGGCTTGTTTTCAGCTCCCAAGTCGGCAAAGACTTGAGTGCTCTTGATCATGTTGGTTCAGAGGTCTCAAGTTTGAAACTTCTGATTGCTTAATACCAAAAACATTCTCGATGTCTCCCAGGGGCCGAGCCTTGGATGAGCTCGGGTGCCCCTCGGTATAGAGGGGCAAAACACCGACTCCCAATTATATATAAAAAAAAATCTTGTTTCCTGTTGATTTCTTTGTATTGTTTTTTCACCTTTTTTTTTAAACACGTCTGAATTTTAAGAAACAAAATGGTTATCAATGTCTCTGTTTCTGCTACTCTGTTTATGTTTCTGATGTTTTTATTTTGTTTTCAGTGACCAATTTGCTACTATACAAATTTATGATCTTTTTTTTTTGGCAGCTAAACACACTATTTGCTTCCATTCTTACACAAATTTGTTTTCGGTGACCAATTTGCTACCATACAAATTTATGATCTTTTTCCCTCTTCTTCTTCTTTCTACTTTCTTTCTGAAAGGTAAGACTGCATGCATCTTTCCTTTCCTTAATTCTTCAAGTTGGGACTTCTCAGCTGCTGAGAACTTGACTAATTCCCCCAGAATTTTGAAATTTTCAACAGCCTTATCATTTCTATTTCCTTCCCAGAATTTATCATCACTCTTTATGGCTCGCCAAAGATTTCATACGATAAGAAGAACTTAACAAAATTTGTGGCGAATATATCTCCTCTTTCTTTAGTGGAAACTTTATCTGCATTGGCGGGGAATAAATCTACATTGGAAATAATATTCATTTGGAAACACTCTCAAATTCGTTAAATCTACATTCAACTGTTCACATTCTACATTTAGTGAATTTAACAATTTTTTGACAAGATTACCTTACTGATGCATGGAACTGGTAATGAGGGAAAATGATGAGGTTCTTGAGCTCTCTCTTTTGGGTTATAGGTCGTTGGAATTTTCAAGATGGTGGTTCTTCCACTGCTTGGTCAGCTTGCAGACGAGTATGGTCGAAAACCTTTACTACTTCTTACAATATCTACGAGCATATTTCCTTTTGGTATGTTTCCATTTCCATGTTCTTCATGTCCCAGTATTCATATTAACATATACTTTTTTTTATTTTTTTTATCAAATTCTACAGTCCTTTTTCTTATGTGCATTTTGGTTTCAGCCTTATTTGTGTGGGATCAATCCAAGGGTTATGTATATGCTTACTATGTGCTTCGTACAATATCAAAGATACTCAGTCAAGGCAGCATATTTTTCATTTCTGTTTCATACGCGGTAATGATTATGTTTTTAATTTTTTTAATTCTTTAGTTCTCCATTTAAGAAAAACAAGGTTAAATTACAAGTCTCCCTAAACTTTTGAGGTTACATTTAATAGGTTCGAAAAATTTCAATGTTGTGTCTAATAGGTATCCGAATTTCAAAAAATGTCTAGTAGGTTGCTCAACTTTCGTTGTGTCTAATAGATTCCTGACCCATTAGAGACATATTTTAAAATTTGGAGATTTAGATACAAGATTGAAAGTTCGAGAACCTATTCGACACAACTCTAAAAGTTTATGGGTATAATTTGTAATTTAACCAAAAAAACAAATTTGTTTTGTTTTGAAGGAAAAATTACGAATTAAGCAATCTATTTTGGCTTTTTATCATGTATTCATGTAGGCGGATATTGTACATGAAAGTAGGAGAGCTGCAGTATTTGGTTGGATCACTGGCCTTTGTTCTGCTTCCCATGTTGTAGGAAATTTGCTAGCACGGTTTCTTCCCGAAAAGTACATTTTTTCGGTATTAACTGCAGCCCTTTAGCCTCATGGATTCAAGTCTCATCATTTCATTTTCCATTTATCACATTGAGAATTTACTTCTTTGTTTCAGGTGTCCGTAGTTTTACTGATCTTTTGTCCGGTTTACATGTATTTCTTCCTGGTTGAGACCGTAGAACTAGTGCCAAAGGGTGATGGAGAACCCGGTTGCTTGTCGAAGACGATCAACGTTCTCAACAAACGATTCAGAACTATGAGAGATGCAGCATATATAGTCATCCACAGGTATTTTTTTATTAGCTTGTTTATTGTTTTTTCCTTTCATGGTGCAATGTTTCATCAAACTCTCTTCTGTTAAGAAGAAAGCCATCGTTGAATAGCTTTATTATGTTTTGCAGTCCAACGCTTAGGAGCATATCTTATGTTTCTTTCTTCCTAGAGTTGGGAATGTCTGGTATCACTAGTGTCTTAATGGTAAGTTTTGATGAATAAAATTTTATCATCCTTAGAAATATAAGATTCACTGAATTGCAAGAATAGAATGCTGAGCCAAAGTTCTTATATTAAGGGTTCCAAAAGTTCTTTGAGCCCATTAAGAGCACTTTTCAAAATTTTCATGATTTTGAAAGTCATAGAACACTCAAGAAACATTAAAATGCTATTGGAAGCTGTGTTTTTTTACTAAAAAGTATTTTTTTCCTATAGTCATCCCAAACTGATTGTAAAAGCATTCGATCAACGAAACCGTGACAAAGATAGGATCCAACAATGTACTCAAATAAGATTTTGATCTTTATCTATGAGACCATTAACTAATACTTTGAAGTTCTGCAGTTCTATTTGAAGGCAGCTTTTGGCTTTGATAAAAACCAAAACTCAGAAATCTTAATGCTGGTGGGAATAGGCTCAATTTTCAGTCAGGTATATTATTTTCCAACAAGATCCGGAAGGGAAGTCCTCTTCCACATAAAACTTTGTCATCATTACGAAAATCGTCACCCCCATATCAGTTAGATTAGGGAGTTCAATACTCAATGAAAGAAAATGTTTAAATTTGGTATCCATTTCACTCAATGTGTTGAGCTTGATAGCATGCTTCCAGATGTTGGTGCTTCCACTGATAAATCCACTGATCGGAGAGGAAGCTATATTATGTATGGCCATACTTGCATCGATAGCTTACGTAAGACATTTCGAATAGCATCCCTTTTATCTGTCAAATTTCTCCTCTTAGCTCCATACTCAAGACAATAGAGAAAAATAATACAGTCCTACGTAATAGTTTTTCCTTTTTTTTTTTGATGTACAGGCATTGTTCTATGGCTTCGCATGGGCAGCTTGGGTATGCTCCATATTTCTATTACATGAACTTTACAGCTCAAAACAAATTATTTTAAACCCTGTTTGATAACCATTAGTTTCAAGTGCTACTTACACTTCTGTTTCTAAGCTAAGTAGGTTTTGTTTTTAAATTAAGATACGGGATAAATTGTGGGAAAGTAGGCACAATTTTTTCAAAACAGAAAACTAAAAACAAAATCGTTGTCGAATGGGACCTTAAAATTTCGTTTTACTTGAGAAGTATGATACTTTCTAGTCTTTCAAATTGGTAATGGATGTCTGTCTCTGTACGCAGGTAGCATACTTGAGTGCCTCATTTAAAATAATTTATGTCCTAGCAAGACCTGCGGTAAGTATCAAGAGAAAATTCAAATATATGTATTCACATCATTAATCCATTCTTGATATTGATTCTGATTCATGATTAGGAGAATTTAATCTTTGCCATTTCATTATTGATTTAAATGATCATTTCCATTAATCTTTTGAATTCCAAACATACAGATTTATGCCATTGTCTCCAAAGCTTCGAGCTCAACCAATCAGGTTGGCAAAGTTCTTTCATTCTATTGTTTTTTTTCCCTTTTTTTATCTTTTACCGATAGGATACTGAGTAGTATATTGAGAGGGAAAAAAAAACTAATGAAAGACAGCTTTCCCATCTCGTATAAGAATCGTAAGACTGTAATTACAAAAAAAAAAAAAAACTTTGTGATTTAGCACTAAGCAGAGGCAGTAATTTGTATACAAGTACAAAAAGAATAGAAGGACCGCTGAATATGAAAAGAAAGAAAGAAGAAAATAGCGTGGAAGTTTCGAGCCCTCAAGGGGTAGCCCCATTGGCAAGGACTTGGGGTCTTGTGGTCATACTGGCTTAGACGTCTCAAGTTCGAATCTTCTAACGAGCTTAATATAAAAAATCCTTTATGTGATCTAGGTCCAGACTTTGGAGCGGGTAGGGAGGCCCGTGGGTATAGGGCAACAAAGCTCCGACTCCTAATTATAAAAAAAAAAAAAGTGTGGAGGTTTCGGGAATTGGGTTTATTCTGTTAACTGATACATTATTGATGGCAGGGAAAGGCCCGAGGATTTGTTGCTGGTGTGGAGTCAATAGCAAGTTTATTATCCCCACTTGTGATGAGTCCATTGACTTGTGAGTGGCTTTCCTCATTGCTTCTCCTTTCACTGGGCATTGCAACTAATTCAATTATATTTGCTTGCTGTTTTTTTTTTCTGGATATTTCAGCATGGTTCATTTCTGAGGATGCCCCTTTCAATTGCAAAGGCTTTAGCATTGTTTGTGCCTCACTATGCTTGGTAAAACACTACCCTCTCTCTATTCGGCACATTAAAATAACTCGATGAACCCAACCTAAATTGTGCACTATGTATAAATCAGGTTGAGTTCAGATTCGTTAATATTTTAAGAATTAGTGTGTCTAATAGGTATCTAACGTTAAAAAGTGTTTAGTAGACTTCTAAACTTTTAATAGGTCCTTGAGTTATAATTTTTTTACAATCCAGCGACCTAAAAGACCAAAAATTAAAGTCTGTGTAGATTTAGGAATTTATTAACCACGGTGAAAAGTGTAAGGACCTGTTAAACTCTTTTTATACTTTACAGACCTATTATTAGACAACTCTCAAAATTTATAGACTAAACTTGTAATTTAACCAAAAATTAGTTTGGATCGAGCTAAACTTACTTGAACTTATTTCAACAAGATAGTGGATAGGCTACAAGTTCGTTTTAATCATGTTGAGCTCAAATAAATCAATATTTAAAAGATTGGTTTACGAGTTTTTCTAAGATCTCTAAGATTAATATGAGTTGAACCAAATTAACCCAAACTTGTATAGCGGGAAGTGATATGGGTTTTATACTGCACAGGTGGTTTCTCTATGGCATGGCTGTTGCCTGGTGAAGGCCAGAGGCCATGGAAGCCATGGCAAGGAGGATGATGACCCGGAGACACCACTTTTGAGCAATGCATGAGATGGATAAAATAGCTTTGCGATAAATATTCAATATTAAATTTTGTCATATTTTTTTGAGTTGAACGATTTTATCCACATATATATATTATTTTTTTCCTCTCTTACTAGCCAGTTTTATTAATTTAATTATGCTCGGATTGACTGCTATGTGAACTTATTAGTGTGTAAATAATGTTAATATTCATAGCTTTTTTTTTAAATACGGATTTTGAATAATAATCGTTGATATCGGTTTAGGTCTTGAACGTAAAAAATTACTGGATGGTCTGTCTACTTTTGTTGAAGTAGTGATTTAGTTCTTCAACTTTAGATCGTAACGATTTTGTTTATTTTAAATTGGTAATAATTCAGTCATGGAAGTTTAATAGGTAACATTTAGTCTTTATAGTTTAATTAAGTTTCGATCCTTATTATTTAACAATTTAGTATTTGTATTTTGTAAGTATGTTAAATTTTATCATTCTAAGTCTATAAGAAACCATATCAAATCGTAATGATATATTTTTATAACAGAGATTAGATCGTTACACACCTTAAACAAAAGTAATATTTTTAACTAGTAGTAAAATTTCAAATTTGTTCCTAAGATCACATGGTATTAAATTTCTATCAATGTGTTGGTATTTCCACTAATATTTTTATATGTCTATGAGTTTAATATCAACATGAAGCATGAATGGATATTTTTATAGCATTACATAAAATTTTAATAAAATAAAAGCAAGCGTAATACTAATATTAATTATTTTAAACAATGTAAAATATTTGTTTGTTATTTTTTTAGAATTGAGGTGAAGAATCGAAGAGCTTTATTCCTTAAATTTATTATTAATATTTTTTTTTGTCAAAAGCTTTATTCGTTAATAACCATCATGGGATGGTTCAAGTGGTCAATGAAGGCCTTTGCAAATAGTAAAGGATTTAGAGGGAATGAGTTCATCGAGACGAATTAAAAAAAAAAAAAAGCTTTATTCGTTAATTTAAGCCTTGTTATGATTTTTTTTTAAATTTTTTTCCCGTAACTTTTAAAAAATATCAATCATGTATTTTTTAATTATCCCCTTCATTCTTCCAAGAATCCTGAATTCATTTGCAAGAAAATCGAGCGACACCACTGCAGAAGTAGAAGCCTGCTCGCAATTCCAGTTCCGATGGAGGTGCTCTCTCCATCAGCCACGGTTAGCACATCCCACCATTTCTCATTTCCGCCCCACAAACCCCACTTCAAATCCTCCGCCATAAACATCAAATTCCTTCCATCGCCAAGTAAGAACAACAAATTCTCACTTCCTTCTACTTCTCATCTATACTCCACTGCTTCGCCTCGCCGTTATGCTACAGTAAATTTAGCTTCGACATCCTCAACTTCTACTTCCACTGTCTGGTCTCCGGCCGCCGGCGAGAACCGCCATTGGATGGTGCTCATGGAGGCACCCCCGCGGGGGGTAACTTCAAAACCAGAAGTCGTTGATTACTACGTCAAAGCGTTGGAAAGAGTTTTGGGCAGGTGGGTGTTCCTCGTATTTTCCACTGTGATTGTTCTTCATCTTTTTTTTTTTTTTCTCTGAATGAATTTTGTTTCGACTTGACATTCTATGGCCAGCGAGAGGGATGCTCAGATGTGTATTTATGATGCTTCCTGGGATAGTGCCCAATTTGGGTTTTGCTGTTACATCGATGAGCAAACTTCCATTGAACTCGCCAGTGAGTTCTCCTTTCCAATTATGCGTCTTATTGCAGATTCTTTACTTATTTTACTTCTTTGATTGGTAAAAGTTGATTGTCTCCTAGACTTCCGCTCGTTTAAAGATTACGTGGCAGGTTGATTTTAGTCAATTTCTGGCATTTGGTGGCGAAGACGTTTAGTTTAGGGAACCTATTAGATAATTTTTTATACTGCGGGGACTAATTATACACAACACTGAAAGTTCATAGACTTATAATTTAACTTTGTTGTCGATGGGCTCTACTTTAGTTGATTCTTACTTGAGTGTGGTACAGGAGTTCCAGGGGTAATATCTATTAAGCCAGATCCAAATGTCAGCTCCATAGAGGATTATGGTTCTTCAACACCTCGGCCAAATCCGCAAAATGGCGGTAGGCTCTTGTTCCCTTCTGGGAGTACCAAGCATTGGCTTGTTAGAATAGACAAGCCAGGTATTGGGGTGGTCACCAAGGCACAAATGGTTGATTATTATGTTGAGATATTGACCAAAGTTCTGGGGAAGTAAGTGTAACATTGTCTGTAACAAAAGCAGTTGCTTCATTTTGTCTATGATATTTTCATTGTCCTCAAGAATGATGATGGCAACTACCTGCAGTGACAAGGATGCACAAATGTGTATATATCATGTTTCCTGGCAGTCTAGCCTTGGATTTTGTTGCGAATTGGATGAGGAATGTGCACGAGAACTAGCCGGTACTCTTCAGTTTCTTTCCTATGGCACTATTGTATATTCTTCTGCTCACGATTGTTCTATGGTGTTTGATGCTAATTCTTGGGAGCTGCAGGTATTCCTGGTGTTTTATCGGTTCAGCAAGACGAAAACTTTGAGGCAGAGAATAAGAAGTATGGAGGTTTAGTCTTCTGACCTTGAGTAAATCTTTCAATTCTAATGTTTAGTCGTGGTTATATTGATTGAGATGAACAATGGTTTTTCCCCTTTCTCTTCAACTTCAATGATTTGATTCCAGTCTCCATTGCTCCTACATTTCAAAATATATCCTTTTAGATATCTAGTGCTTGCTTCTTAGACAGATGGCTCGAAGTCGTCTGGTAAGATATGATTGTTGAGTAGGATAACGGTTAATCCTTGGTTGAATCGATTACCAAACTAATTTTTTTTTTTGGATATCTATAAGTGCCCGAGCTAGCTTACGCACTATTTGATTGATCTCATGAGACAACCACTAAAACTTACGATATTTAGTTGTCAAGAAACTAATCGAATTTATATATTTTAGAAAGTTTCCGCAACAAGGTTTGAATCTAATAGACAATATTATATCAAGAGATCATGCCATTGTTAAAAGGTTTGCCTGCACTAGCAAATGCTTTTTGGCGATCTCCATTCTCCCCCTTGTTATGGCTAATGGACTCTTTTGTAAAGACCTCTTTAGCTGTTATGGGGCAAGGCAATGAGGTGGATGCCTAAACACCATTTCCTTCTATTGCTGCCCGCTTTTTTCTTTAGAATGCAAGATTCAATCAAATTTCTTTTGAATGATCTTTTGTTTATCCCATGGTAGCCTGCTGCAGTTTCCTTACGAAACCTTCGGTCATTAGCTATCAAGTTATCTGAAATAACCATTACAATATTTGCTTTGTTGTTAAACATTATCGAGGACAGGTGACAGCATTTTTATACGAGCCCTTCTTATGCCAACAGTTTTTGTTACTTGGCAAGGATGAATGAAGGAATAAAAAAGGAAGTAGTTATGAAATTGGAGTGATATCAAGTTATTTAAACTGTACTGGACTTTGATTGTAATTGTAAATGGAAGTACAGGGACTGAGATGTTAAAATAACAACATACATTTACTAGAATTGTAATTTCTAATTTGATCTATTTGTTATTATTAAAATCTTTTTGAATCTTTGCATTAATAACTTGCATTTTTCAGGTGGTAATGCCAAGAATCCTTTGGATCTACCAGATTCTTCAGAAGATCAAAGAACTCCTGTGAAAACAAAGAAACTATTTATAACTGGTATTGTAAATTCAACATATGCTAAGATATTTTAGCTTTTGAATATGAAAATTTTCGTGAGCCAAATATCTTAGTTCTGTGTGATGTTCTTATAAAATGAATGTAATGGCTCTTTGGTAATTTCATCATGAAAAGGGGGTGGAAGTGGGATATCAGATAAGAGGATTACTCACTGTGAGCCAAATTACAACACAAGGATGTTTACCCTAAAAAATTCTTAAAATAAAATAGAAAATGTTGGATCAGTTTTGAAAAACATGCTTTTAAGTGATAACGCTTTCTCTGTTAGCACTTTTAGGAAAAGTGCCTAAAAACCCTGTAAGTATTTTTCTTTTTAATGTTTTTAGATTTCAAAATTCCTTTTGATTATCTATCCAAACATAAGAAAAATTTTGAAAAGCGATTTTAATCGCTAAATGTTTTCTATCATTCCAAAAATTGTCCCAAACTCACATTTTATCACTTAGTCATGTGTTGTGAAAATAATGTGGGTTGACATGGGACCAGATCGGGTCACCAACACTCGTCTTATTTAATAATGAATATTACTATTAATCACCTGGAGACAGGTCTTTCATTTTATACGTCGGAGAAAACTTTACGTGCAGCATTCGAAGGGTTTGGCGAGCTCGTGGAAGGTACGCTGCATTGAACCTGTCCTCTTAACATTCTAACTAGAATTTCTCATGAGGCAAAATAATGGTTACAGATTGCTTTTATGGACAGTTAAAATAATAATGGACAAGATTTCCAAAAGGTCCAAGGGATATGCCTTCATAGAGTATACAACAGTGGAGGCTGCTGGTGTTGCACTTAAAGAGATGAATGGCAAGGTGAATAAACATGAGCTCTCTCTCTCTCTCTCTCTCTCTCTCTCTCACTATCATCTAGTTCATTCTACATATATTTTCTGTTGTTGATGCAGATCATCAATGGTTGGATGATAGTTGTCGACGTTGCCAAGCCTAGCCCTCGGAGATACGGTGGGAACCATGCCAGATCATCGGTCTAGATCGAGCGCACGTTTGAATACTTTGACATAATTTTGAATGGTTAGTTATGGTTGAACCTAGAGGGCTAGTCAATCTGATGCATGAAAAATAGAAGTTGTCCTTTCTTAGTTCAACACGGCGGGTGAAGATTTGAATCTCTTTGAATCTCTGACCAATCAATGATGTATGAATTGAGTTATGCACAGGTTTAACATAAAATTTGTCCTAATAAACCAGCCACGAAAGAAGCACTTGTTCATTCTGGGCAACTGAAAACAGAAATTAAGCAACAGTTGAAGCCTCCCCACTGTTTGTGAAATGACAGTTTTGAATAACAACTCTCTCAGGAAGCTACAAAATTTATTATCCAATGTCCTTTTCTTGGATCATGTATTCATAATTCAACATAGTAGCTTCCATTGTTACAATTTGAGTAACCATAATTAGTAATTTATCTTTGTGGCCTTTACCTGTGGCATGCTTTCATGATTATAATTAGTAAATCAAAATGAGTGTTTTCTAACTTAGTTGAAAAATCTCACTAAACAATTTGAAAATACAACTTATGGCTGAGTTAAGATGAAGAAGAACTCGCTAATTCGAGATGACTTTTGAAAAAAGTCCTTTTCTTTTCCTAAAGAAAACTACCCTAAGAGTATTTATGGAATAATTACTAATTTAAAATGTGTTTACTATCCTATGTGATTTTAGATAACTAACTCCCTGTTCTTTATGAGGATTCTCAAATCATTTCTCTTTAGTTGGAATTAAATAAATAAAATTTGAAATCGTGTTTTTGGATAGAATTTTAATTGAAAGTTAATCACGTTACAATTTTATCCTTGCAATCAATTAAATGGAAGAAATCAAAGGAAGAAATAACAGAGAGAGAGATTTAGGAAAAGAAAATGTTTGAATTTTACGACTAATTTAAGCTTGAATTTAAATTTCTACAAGGACTATAAGAAAATGTCACGAATTTTTTATTTCCTCAACATTCAACAATATGCCGTGGAGTATGGATTATAAAATGTATCATAAATATGGGTTAAACCACGCTTTTTCTCATCTTCGACTTTATCAAAATATTTTGACTTCGGAAGGAATAAAATATTATTATTTTTTTAATCATATTCCAGCTGTCGTTCAACTACGTGGCCACGTCGGGACCTATTTTGGTAATTTCCTCCAAATTCGCGAACTCCAAAATATCAAACCCGCCCTTTATTTCCCACTCCTTGAAATTTGTAAAAAGAATTAAAAAAAAAAAGAAAAAAGAAAAAAGGAAAAGAAACCCTAGAAGCTGAAGCGGAAACGCCCCCTCCCTGTTTCTAAAATTTTCTCTTCGAACCTAGAAAGAATCTGACCGTCGATCTCTTTAACCAACGGCTCCCGTCAGTCGGCGACCGCTTTTTCCCCTTCTTTCCGCCCCCACTTTCAGTGGTTTTTATCATAAACCCTAGCCGTCTTCTCTCTCTCTTCTGCTCTGTCAGTTTGCATGAAACTCTCTCACTCGCAGCGATTCTCGATCATTCTTTCGGATCCAATCTCTGAAGTTTCTTTTTGGGTTCTCCATCGTTCTCTTTTTCTTACATCTTTTTTCGGGTTTTTCATGGCCTCCGTAAATGGATCTTTGAGGATTTTGTTTTTCCTTTTTTCTTGTGTTTTCGTCTAGATTATTGCGGCGAAAGTGTGCGATTCGCTGATGGTTTTTGTTTCTCTTACTGCTGCATGTCCCTGTTTGTTTCTGTTCTTTGATTTTAAGTTTTCCCCCTCGAATTCTTTGGCGCCAAGTTTCCGTTTCGAGTTCGGCTTAGATTGCGTTTGAAGATTCCGGGTCGTCGTGTAGACAGACACTGGTTTCTCACTTCCATCATTCCTGATTATGGATGCGTGTTGAGTTCTGGCGGTTCTACTCCAAGGCCGCCGGGTCCGATACCGGTCCGAGTTAGGTGCTGAGTCAATTCGGAGAGCGACTCGGTGAGTCGGGGACAGAAGGTCGAGTGTCGAGTGGTGCCAATTCTTCATAACCGTACGGCAATGCCGTCGGTGGGGATGAGAAGGACGAGAGTTTTCGGTGTGGTAAAGGGTGTAGATGGAGCTAGAGTTTTGAGGTCTGGAAGGCGTCTATGGCCCGAATCGGGTGAGGTGAAGCTTAAGAAATCCAAAGATGCCAGTGACTGGTACCCTGTTATTGAGAACAGAGGAAATGGGGGTGGAAGTGGCCAGGTTAGGCTCCATGGTAAGTGGACTCAAGTTCGTAATGTCAACCCGAAGCGGGTTGTCGTCGTTGACATTCATGAGGAGGATGATACTTGCGTAGCTGATGTGCCTAAACCTGTAAAAGTTGTTGCTAGGAATGGTGGTGATGGTGAGTCTGGGGTTGTGGATAGGATGTTTGGGAAAGTGTACAGAAGAAAGAGGAAGAGGGGTCTTTCAGAGAATCGCGTTATTTTCGATGAAACGGAGGGAGAGAATGGTTTGGCAGGAGATAGAATGTTTGGACTCCGTTTCATTAGAAGACAGAGAACGAGGAAGACTAACGATGGAAATTGGGAGCCTACTGCAGGTGGTCGTTTTAGAGTGCACTTTTCTAGGCAAAGTACTTTGCAGCTGACCCGGGATCGGGTTCTAACTATTTTTTCTGGGAGTAGTCATGATGGTGGCTGTTTCTCAGATTTTATGCTCTCGATTCTTAGACACCTGAAGAGTCCACTGCTGAGGGTGGCTAAGCTTTCTGAATTTTTGTTATCCGATCCAATCTGTGGAGTTTTTGCTTCAAAGGGAATTCGGTTCTTGCAGGTATTACCTTCTTACTGCCGTTTGTGTTCTGATGCAATTGTTGGGCTTTTTTTTCTTTTTTCTTTGGATGAAATGTTAGGCTTCAATATAATTGGGCAGCAATGAAGTTTTATATCATAAGGTTATCTTCTGGTGATTAAGTTATCTTGTTTCTTGATCCGAACAAATTCCGTCCTTTTTTGTTCCTGGGACCTTTTTTTTTTGTCTGTCTAAGCATTTCTCTGTTTTTATCTTACCCTCTGTCTTTCAGGGTTATCCTCCTACTGGAAGCTCTGGCATTTGTGTGATTTTTGGGGCCACGCAGTCTATGCCAATGTTCCATTTAGATTTTTCCGCCATTCCTCTCTATTTTATGTACTTGCATTCAAGGATGTTTCTTAGAGCAACTTGGATTCAGGCTCGTCTTGTATATAATAACAAGCAGTTAGATGTAGATATGAGTAGTGATAGTGAAGAAGACAGCATTGAAGAGCAACATGTTCCCAGTCCTCCTGGAAGAAGTTCTTTGGAGTGCAAAACCGTGACATTTGCAGTAGATCATCCTAAGAGCCGACCCATTTTACATCCATCTGTTAGAGCTTCAAGGTTAGGTGGTCGGAACATGCAATACAGAAACAGTTTCAGTTCTCGTGGTGTGCGTAAAAGGAGGAGTTCGCTGAGGATGAGGAGGCCTAGAAACTCTTCTCTTGCTGCTATGCAAAAAGCATCAGAATCAGTTCATGATACCAAACGCAGTGTATCCTTTTCTTCTGCAGCATCTTATAACAAGAACAAGTACTTAGCCCTGAGAGATTCTGCTGGGCGCATCAGAGAAGGGAGTTCTACTGCATTGAGATCAGCAATGGTTGTTGACCCATCATGCTGCAATGCAAATATATTAATTGTGGAATCTGATAAATGTTTGAGAGAAGAGGGAGCCAATATTGTGTTAGAGTTTTCTGCATCGTGTGAATGGCTTCTAGTGGTCAAGAAAGATGGTTCAGCTAGATACACCCACAAAGCAGAAAAAGTTATGAAGCCCTCTTCTTGCAATCGTTTTACGCATGCAATAATTTGGTCCACGGATAGTGGTTGGAAGCTAGAGTTTCCAAATCGAAGGGATTGGTTTATTTTCAAGGATCTCTACAAGAAATGTTCTGATCGCAATATCCCATGTTCTACTGCTAAAGCTATTCCTGTGCCCAGGGTGTGTGAAGTTCCAGGTTATGTGGATAGTAGTTGTGCTTCTTTTCAAAGGCCAGATATGTACATCTCTATACATGATGATGAGGTATTTAGAGCCTTGGCAAAGACAACCGCAAACTATGACATGGACTCTGACGACGAGGAATGGTTAAGCAAGTCTAACGACGAGCTTATTGTGACAGACAAGCATCAAGAATGTATTTCAGTGGATAACTTTGAGTTGATGATCGATGCCTTTGAGAAGGGACTTTATTGTAATCCTGATGCCTTCCCTGATGAGAAAGCTCCTGCTGAAATATGCACGCATCTTGGTAACCGTCAAATGGTTGAGTCTGTATTTACTTATTGGATGAAGAAACGAAGACAGAAGAAATCATCCTTGGTTAGGGTTTTCCAGGTACTATTTTTTGTTCTTCCTTAAAAACTTTATTTGGGTGTGAGTCAACTCTTAAGACTTGCATGTTTTTTGCATTCCAAGAGGATACTTACCTTTTTTTATATTCAAACTATTTTTTAGTGTTTACTGAAGAAGCATAATATTTAGCTCGACCTAAGTTAAGTTGTTGAGGGTGGCAGTTCATGTGAACCATTTGGATGATCTTTTTCTTCCAGGCTCATCAGGCTAAGAGGAAACCTCTGGTGGTCCCTAAACCTATCATGCGAAGAAGGAGATCATTCAAAAGAAAGCCTAGCCAAATTGGGAGAGCTACACACTCAAATCTTTTGGAAGGTATAACACTTTGGTAGCAAGTTTTTCTTTAAAAGAAAATGATAGATGGTTGTATGTACCTATGAAGTAGCTCAATAAGTGACATTTGATACATGATAGGTTATAGATTTGAATCTCCACTAGTTGTGATGTGATGTAAAATTCTGAGTTTTGTGCTGGTTGGAGTGTACAATCTCTAACGATTCTAAGTCGGGGTTGTGCAGCCATAGTTTTGAGGCGAGATGCTGAGGAGGACCAGAATGCCGTGGCAAAATACCAAGAAGCGAAGGCAACGGCGGAGAAAGCCTTTGAATGTGCTGTGGGGAAGCGGCAGAGGGCACAGTTGCTGTTGGAGAATGCAGATTTGGCAGCTTACAAAGCCATGATGGCACTGAGGATTGCCGAAGCAATTCAAGCATCAGAAATATTGCCGGATGCCGAAGCTGAATCTGAAGCTGCTGCTGCTGCATCTTTTTTTCTCGAGTGATTTTGTTTTCGGGAAGTGGCGGGATTCATTCACGGCTGTTTTCTTTTGAGAGTCCCCAATTGTTTTAATTATTATTGTATAGTATTTCATTAATGTGTACATTCTATTTTGTATGATTAGAATCTCTCACACCCATAATGTACAATGAGACGTCCTAATTCTTCCTAGGTTCAAAAATATACGACTTAAGTTAGTATATCAATATGCTTCCCTACTCCCTGTATTACCTTTTTTCATCCAAATCAAATCATAAATGATAAAATCAAGCATAATAACAAGAATTTGTGAGTAAAAAGAACTTCATTATTCCATGTCTGCTGTTAGCTTTGTAGAAAGAGCGTTTTACAACTCCAAAATTTCCTTTTTGCTCTTTATGGTACTTAACTTCCTTACATTGAATTCTACATCATCCAAATCCTCTGAAATTCCCAAGTATCCATAAAGCATTCTCTCTTCAGTCTTGTCTCCCTCCATTTCTGCTCCCCCATTTCTGCACTTTGCCACCTCGAAATTCACTCTTCCATGTCTCCTTTCAGAAAAGAATTTATGGAGTCTTTCTGCATCTGTCAAACCAGAAAACATGGCCAGGAACTTCAACACCATCACACTTTGATCTGCAGGACTCCCCAAAGTTATTTTCACTCTCCCCTTCAGCAAATTCTTACCTGTGAACAACAAAACGATTCGTACACCGCATGCAGGTTACTATAGCTAGAAACATTAGACATGCCATGAGATATTAGTGAACATTCGTCAGATCCTATTAAACATGATAATGTGAGAATAAAACTGTCACTTACTTCTTAAGAAAGTCTCGAGTGCTTCGATCGTTACAACTCTCCACCTATCGGGGTTGCTGTGCGACAGAGAGATGTTGCGGATGATAATAACTGGAGGCCAGATGATAAGATCTTCCTTCTGAACCACAGCTTCTTCCTTGGGCAACACCTCGGGAACCCATGTTACAGTGTCTTGGGGCATGGCACTATTCCACCCCATCAAAACGCATATGGCTTTGGCAAGACCTAAATGCTGAGCCCTCAACCCAGTCCTGTGGGACATGTAAGCATGCTTTACCAGGCGTTTAGTATCCAAAAATTCCTTTGAGGAGCTGCAATGSCAGGGATAGGCAATATAAAGCTAGAATTAGCGATTGAAAGTTAATAAAAACAACATTTCTCCTCGCGAACAGCACGTCTACAAAAGGTGCTAGAATTAAAACAAGACAATAAGCAAACAGCAACTGTGAATACCAATTCAAAGAACTATAAAAATCACCATCATAAAGAAAAAAAAATCATAATCACAAATTTAGCAAATTAACATTTAGAAGTCCCAGGAATCTCAAACTTGAAGAAGTAAACCCCGTGACTTCATATTCATAATAACAGAAATCCTCGACCTTTTGACATTTACCCATGGAGCCGATACTGGAGATCACAAGTTGTTCTTGCAACACTTGGTAGTCAACAAACTTCTGAGAAAATAAATACCAAGGGATGTGATCGATCTTAAGCTTTTGACCTATTTAGCTACATCCATGGACGCTTAACCACCATGTCTCTATAAAATATTGAGGCTTCAGTTTCTGGCATTATAATCATAGCTTTAGATTCACAACACTATCATGAAAGCTGGTAAAACTTTATTAACCTCGTTAGCTTTTCGAAGACCCCGCAGGGGATTTGTGAGTTCTTTTCATTTTTTGGACAAAAAACTGCTTCCATTGCAAAAATGAAAAGTACACAAGTGGGGTCAAAACAGAAGCCCTCTAGCCAAAAGTAACAAAATACTCTAATATAGGAAACAGAGGACGGACCACAGCAAGAAGTTCTCCTAATTATCCTCCCACCATTCAATACCATCAAATCTCTTCTTCAATGGTTCATCTTCATTTTGTACCGTCCATACACTTTAAAGTCCATACACTACAGGGAAATCTATTCATTAGATGACGTCTTATACTGGGTAACTTCTAAACCAATCGTTCAAATGGTCAATTCTACTTTTAAAGTTCCATCCTTGTTGACTAAAAGAAAAGTTGAACCATTGGAAAATAACTACCGAGTAATCCAATCATGCTGTTAATTAAGGATGGTCACTTTACAGCACAATTTTACCAATCTTCACTGACATACGTGATACTACTATATCAAATTAAATGCATGTCAATGAATGACCATAATATGTAAAGAAGCTACTGAAAAGCAGCAATGGAGATCATATGCGTCGCTGAAGGTCCAAGCCAATATATCTTCTCCTAAATTCTGCAACATGAGCTAGAAAATTAATAACATTTCTGAACGCGAAGTTCTGGCACAGTGATAAATATCAAAGAAAACCCAAATCTTCACGTGAAACTAAAGCTTGCTAAGGTGGAAAACTGGCCATAAATCTACTCGTGAGATTGGTTATATCATGAGACAAAAAGCAAACCAAACCCTCTAGACCGGATCTCTCTACAATGAGCTATACTGCTCTGATAATTCTAAAATGGTTGAGCATGGACAATGGGTAGTCCACCCACCAAGGTACCTTCCAGACCCCCAGTGATATCCTCTGATTATCTTTATAATGTCTGTCCAAAGAAATTCTCTACTATCCTGAAGTCCTCCACATTGACATGCACTTCATAGAATATGTTCACTAGTATAAAAGTGCACGAAGAAACTTGTAAAGCTTAATCAGAACACCCATATCTTTCTCCAGTAGTTTGCCGTTATTAACATAATTGTGCATTTCACAGGATACATTCACTACAATTGGAAAAGTGACCAACGTAAATACAATCTCAAAGCTTACTCCGAACAACTCCCAGTTTCTGAACTCCATTAAACTAGGTATATGGCCAGTCATCATTCTCAAACGACATCATTGAAGCCACTATCATGACTCCAGAGATTCACACCTTGCTGCAGTGAAAGGGAACCCTCTAAAGCTCCAAGATTATGTACCTCCCTCCATCCCCCCCTTCCCAACCCAAAAAGATAATAAATAAAATAATATGATGGTCCATACAAAATAATGGAAGCACGGCGACTATACAATGGGAATCTTATAATCCAAAGAAACCTACGGAAGAAAACCTAGAAGGTTTCTTATAATCTTACTTGAATACGTTGCACAATAGCAATTAGGAAACCCCTGAGTCAATTTATGAAACGAAGTCTCCACGATTAGGAAATAGGGAAGAAGACAGACCTTATGCCACATACGATGCAATATAAACTACCAGCATTTCCTTGCTCCTTGTACTTTTTCCTGACAGTAGGCTTCATATTCAGCTTTTTGGAGCACTTCAGAAATGCCTCATGAACCATTTGTTTGAACTCTTCAGAATCCTCAGGTGGTTCAGACTCTGTAGGTTTTATGAAATCATCTGACAGGCCATCGTCGTTTACATGAACATAATCGTTATCTTCTTCAGTATTTTTCCAAATTTTAAGCGGTCTATGAAGACTATTTCTGAGATCAACATTTTGTGACTTGATCCAGCTTGAAGGACCATGTCTTCTGTTGCCCTTCATATATTTAGGACCATTTTTGAATTTCTGTGCATGGTCTAAATACCTTTCACATGAAAATGAATCATCAGAAGCATGGAAATTATGACGATCGTATTTCTTATTCGACTTCCTGTATTTGCCATGGTCAAATCCTGCTTTCCTGGATGTATATCTGTGACTGGTATCATCATCCATCCACGCTTCACCACTATCATACATATCCACAACCTTGTCGGGTGTGTATTCACATGGCATACTTATTCTATGATCAAGTAAATTCATATCTTCCTCGAAATAATTTCTTTTTGGCATCTGATCCCTCAACTTATAAGCGGAAACACCCTCTGTCATTCTCTGCACTCTTTCAGAATTTCTATAAGTTTCTCCATCACACTTAGACATGGAAGATCTATGCAACCTCTCTTTCAAATAATGTGAACCTACTTCTCTTTCAGAGCCATAATCTGATCTTTCATGCAATTTTTTACTATACTCAGAAGGGTTGATGTCCGAAACTTCATAATCTTGAGTTACTCTCCTTCCCACTTCAACATGGATGGATCCAGTACTTGCATATTCACAGTCATGGTTTATTGTTTTTGAGGTTAGTCCTATATCAGGGTAATCTAAAACTCTCTGTTCTCTAAGACTATAACGGTTAAGTGCTATTCCAGTACTATGATTTGCAAACAAGTTCTCAGGATTTTGTAATTTCAGCGAACTGGAGTTTGCAACTTTTGGTCTTGAAAAGTCTCCAAGATCAGACACAATTGCTCTACCATAATCAATATAATCATGTGTTTGATTAATTTTCTGCATCACTCGAGATGGATCTTCATTTGAATCATTAACTGTTCCCTCAGGTTTAGAATAAAAATAGCTCATATGCTCCCTCATAGGACTATTAGTACTTTGTTGATGAGGAGTAAAATTCCTTTCTCCACCAACAAGATCAATGGCTGAATCTACAAGGGTCCTTTTCCCATATGACTTAAAGTCTAAACGGTCCATAAGGTCTCCATGGCTCCTTGTTGGAAAATCATCCGAAACCTCAAAGTACTGGCCATCCTGATAAGATTCCAAAGACTTGCTTGTAAATGGCCCTGACGAAGATCTTTCATATTCTTTGGAATAAAATCCCGAGCTTGCCAAATATCCAATATTCCTTGAACTAAACCTACGGCTTTCTTCAACTTCATGGGACTCTGTGACTTGTGATTTATCTGAAACTACATGACTTCGAAATTTAAGTCTTTCATCATCAAGACTTCGCACATCCAAACTCTGAGAAGATGGTAAGAAGTCTTTGTAAATTGACGTGGAACCCATATTCAAAGATGAACTATATGATCCCATTGCCGTGCTCTCTTCCATAGCCAAAAGTTTTTGATCCGTCATCCTTTGTCCACTGCCAACCGACCATCTCCCTTCAATAGTTTCTTTATCTTTCCTAATTCTCAAATCATCATGCCTATACCGAAGGTCATGCTCATAATCTAAAACTTCATCACCAGCATGAAATTTCCTTGGCTCAGGTACCACACGCGTCTGCTGCAAATCCGAAAGCTGCCTGTGATCATTCTGATGGTACAGTTCCTCAAAGTTAGGTTTTTTCCTCGCCTGGCCATAAGAATGTGACCTTGAGTCGACGTTATTGTTCCTTCCAGTTCTGAGATGCCAATCCTCGTCCCTCCTTTCAATGGTGTCGACCCTCTGACCCAAACCCACTTCGCGTCGGGAAGCACCAACTCTGTGAGGGCTCAAACTCCTCCTTAGACGCGGAGACCGATCCAGTGCCTCTCGACGGGTCTTCCCATATCGATCATGATCCAGATGAAGCCGATCCTGAGCGTGTAGTTTCATACTTTCCGACTCTCTAACATAGTAATCATCACGCCTTCGACATTGCATCTTTAACTAATTAGTTGAAATTATTACTAACAAAGTCTGGAATAATACCCTAAAATCCTCGAATCGATTCGCACTAAATCGTCCCAATAAACAGGCAGAAACTTTCAATCCCCATGACCTAAAAGTAAAACACCCAGTCGGAATATCGAACCAGAATATGGTATGGATTGCAATAAAAATCCAACGAAAATCCGAGACAAGGATTATCAAACTGGGAAATTTTTCAAACCTTCTGGGTCTCTGATCCTCCTTCGCTTAAGCCTGCCGGATGACCGGATTCTTGCATCCGTTACCGAAATTCACAAATCACGAGCAGAGAGTTTGTTCGCAACGGAGTTTTGTTTCAGTTCCGGCTTCTGAGAGAAAGTATAGAGCCGAAATCCGCACTGCAGACGACAAGAGCGAGAGAAACCGATTATTTATAGCGAATGCGAATGTTCGTCAAATTGTTTTTGGGGTTTTATTTGGTTAAATTATAATTTATAAACACAATCCCAGCATTTCTATTGGATAAGTTACCTCTTTTGCCCCTAATATTTGGACAATTAACATTCTATTATTATTATTTATTTTTATTTTTAGGACGACAATGGTAAATATTGGGATCAAATTTCCAACCTCAGATAAAAGAGTGTCGTGCGTAGCTCCGCACAACAAGCATAGTTAAGTGGCTAAAATACCTACCATATTTATCTTAAAGTTAAAAGTTTAATTCCCCATTAGTTAAATCTATAAATATTTGTATTTGTAGTTTTTTTTTTTAAACAAGTGTGAGGTAGATATTTGAATATTTGATGTCGAAGTATTTATTAGTTTTTTCTAATGAATTAGTCATAAAACTACATGAAAATAAAATAAAAAATGATTGCTCACGTGGAAAAAAAACAATTAGGAAATTGATTTGGTAAAGGTGATTTTTCAAATTTCATAGTTGTCACCTAACCTACTCGATAAAAATCTTAGTGCTAGTGCGACCCGAATAAGTAACGATAGTACATAAGATTCGATGTGTTTATGGTAGATTTTGATCTATCTTGAGAATGGTGTAGATTGGGTACGGTCGAGTTATCTGGAGCGAGATATGTAAGGAAAACCATGCATAAATAGAACAAACACTCCGACACTCAAGTCCATAAGATAACGATCCAAGGTCTAAAGACGAGGAATCAAGCTGCTTACCTAGATTCGGAATAATGTTCATTCCTATTTATACGATGTCAAATGGTAGCTAGATGATCCTACGTAACTGTTTTGTTAAGCTATTTGAGAGTTTATTACACATTTATAGGTAGTTTGGCGTCTTATCTTAAACTTTCCTTCAACCAACCATTGTCAAGTCATCATTAGTTGAGCTATATAAATCGATCCCATAATATTTCTGATATAAAAGTAGAAAATTAAGCTATCCGATATTTCATTAGCTTTCCACGTAACGTGTAATATTTTATCTTTCACTATGGAAGAAATAAAACAAATACAACAATAAAATAGATAAATAAATAGATGAAGTATGATCATGGTGGTACAATGTATTTTTATGAACAATTTTAGTGAAACTCTAGGAGTAAAAACGTAGCACTATGAAATTCAAAGATTAAATAGAGTTATTATCCAAAGAAAAAAAAAGGAAGAAAGAGTAATTATCCATGCGCATATATAATTTCATTCCCTTATTATTTTTTACAATAGGTTATTTAACATTTAAATAAACTTTTTTCTACACCAATTTCACCAGCTCTTCCACAACCACCTCCATTTCTTCATTGCCTTTTTTCTTCATCATCTTTGCAAGCTCCTTCGCTTTCTTCCTCATTCTCTCTCCACTTTTATCCACCACCACCTGTTAATTAATCATATAAATAAAATATTCAATTTATCATATAAATGTTACTTTGCTATTATGATATCACTAAAAGTTTGAAAAAAAAAATAGCTATTTTTCAATACAATTTAATCTCTCCATTTCTAGTTTGATTTTGATGTGATCTCTATGATTTTATGACTTTCGATTTTAATTTCATAATAGTTTAATTGAAAAGTAAATATGTGGATGTGTAAAAAAGAAAGGAAATAAGTAAATCTTTCACGTGGATAAAAAATAATTTAGGAACTATTTGGTAAAATTTAACCAAATAACTAAATTAAAATTAAACTTAAAATGTAGAAATTGAATTAGAACCTTTGGAACAGAAGATAATTTCAAACTATATAGGCCACAAACTATAAGAATCAAATTTGTAATTTAATTAATAAAAATTTAGTAATAATTTATACTTAATTACCAAAATATTCATTAACTTTGCTAAATTTAAAAAAATACTCTAAAAATTTCAATAGGACATATCTTTTATAAATGTTTAACGTAACAAATTATAGTGAACTTATATAAATTGTCTATATAATTTTTCCTTAAAAGTATTATTTTTCTAGAATTTGTTTATCTATTATCTACCCAATTTTATCATAATATCCTTGTTTCTTTAGCATCTCTTTTATTTTTATATTTAATATATGATATTTGTTTAAAGGATATTTTTAAAACGTTTACGAAAAGGTAACGGTAGTATTGAAACTTTTAAAATGGGAAAGGAAAAAAAAAAACAAACCTCTTTGATAGCTCTTGCCACCTCTCCGCGACGGAGGCTGCCACCATTGCTACCACCCCTTTCCACGATGATGCTGACATCAAGGCACTCGATCAGCCTCGCATTGAGCGGCTGGTCGAGGTGCATCGGGGCGGCGATGATTGGGACACCGAACTTAATGCTCTCGAGGACGGAGCTCCACCCGCAATGGCTGAGGAACCCGCCGGTGCTCCGGTGCCGCAAGATCTGAGTCTGCGGGGCCCACCCCTCCACCACCATTCCTCTGTCTTTGACTCTCTCTAGAAACCCTTTTGGGAGTTCTTCTTCCATGGCCTTCTTTCTCTCTCCTCCTCCAACCGCAAACCTCACCACCCATATGAAGTTCACATGGCTAAGCTCTAGCCCATACGCAATCTCTTCCATGTCTTGTTTTGATAGGTAGAACTCGCTGCCGAAGGACACGAGTATGGAAGATGATTCATCCTTTTTGTTCAACCATTCCTCGAAGGTTGATGATACGCCGTCGTCTTCTGGTTCTTCAACAAGTGGACCGACGGGAATTACCTTATCATTAAAGATTGACAATTAAAAAAAAAAAGAAAAAAGAAGTTATCTCTGTTAATTACGGTTCATCAAATATTCAATTTATTTTACAATGGATAAATTGGTGTCTAAAATACGTGTCATCCAACAATACTTGTCTATGTAAGAAAACAAATAATGCTTGAAAAATCAACAATACTTGTCATTTACGGGATTTTAATTCCCTTTGATAATATTTCCCACCCCTACGTACAATAATTATAATGCTATATTGCTTAAAAACAAAATATAATCATGATTTGAAATTTGAAAAATCAACCAAAATTAAATAAAAATAAATTTGACTTAAAAATATTCAATCAATATGAATGCTACAATTGAATCTAAACTCTTGAATAATGTAACTAATTACCTCAAAAAGAGCTATAAAATTTACCTTCTTGTGCAGCAAAGTAGAGAGAAAATCAATATATTTCCCTTCGATTTCTCTGAAAGATTTCACCAAAACGATGCCACAAGATCTCTCCCAACATCCCACAACTCTTTCCTTATCTTTCGCATCATTCACAGAAGATCCAAAGAAGTTCTTCAGCTGTCTAATCTCATATTCAGAGCAACGAATTTCAGGAAAAAGCGAGAAAAGTTCCGCGCTTTGAAACTCCAGTATGTGCAACACCGTGGCCGGCATGAGCGCACCTAGAGAATCATATAGCTAGAATGTTTGAGTAAAAGAAATATTAATGATGGATTAAAAAAAATTACTTGCATGACCAGCATTGAATATTTTTGACAAATATTAGATAAATATAAAAATAGATAATCTAAACAGTAAAACGATAGTGCGATGGTATCACATATATCATAAAGTTTGTATTCAAACCCTATACTAATCATTATATTGTTGAGTCCATAACAAGAGTTTCGGTTGTAGGAATTTATTATCGGATAAGCTCGACGTCAGTTTTGAGAAGTCAAAATTTTGACGTATTGATATAATTGTTTTCTAAAAATACCTAACATAAATTAATAAGATCTAGCTAGCTAGCAATCAGCCTTTTTTTCTTTCATCTTTCCTTCCTTATACGTACTTGTGTTGTTGAACATGACGGCCGGAATACCAGCTGCGGCAGCCTCCGCCGGCGCCCACGGCTGTAGAAAGTCGTAGATGAGCAAGTCCGGGGCGAGGCGGCGGAGGACGGCGGCGAAGGCGGGGGCGGCCGCGTCGAAGGCTCCCTTGAGCGAGAACATGAGATGCGGCGGGAGGCCGGCGGTGGTGTGGCGGTCCGGCGGGAGCTCTGGCGAGGCTGGTAAGCGGAGCTCCACCGTCTCGAGGTTCGGAGTGAGCTTCGGTTGGACGGAGCGGAGGTTTACGGCGGTGGAGCAGAAGAATACGTGGAAGTTTTTGGCGGCCAGCAATTTGGCGAGCTCAAAAAACGGTGATACGTGGCCGTGAGCCAGCCATGGGAGCATCAAAATGCTCATTCTTCTGCCATTTCTATGATCACCTAATTCCATCTTGATTTTCTTCTTTGATCTCAAAGCTGCAGATTTTTTGTTTGGAAATTATGAAATAAAATATTTAAGGATAAAGAAGGGGTGGGGGTTTATAAGGACAAAGGGGTTGGGATAATGCCTACCTTATCATAATTAGATTCGATAACAATTTCGTCGTTGTGAGGTGTCTCAAAATCCATGCTCCATATGTTCTCTATGTGTCTTTTATTCATAATCGCATATGTTCCATGTACCATGTGTTGAAACCCTAATGCCCCATGTGTCTCAATTTTAGACATTTTTAGTGTCATGTAAATCACACCACATGCTTATCCATGACCTATAAATAAGGTCAATGTGGTGCTCAGAGTTAGAATTTGTGAGAAATTAGTGGTGAGAATTTGTGAGAAATTAGTGGTCAGAATTTGTGAGAAATTAATGAGAAATTTGGCGGGAAATCAAGTTTGAAAATTGGTGGAAAATGCCATTTTGAATTTTGAATTTTCTTTATTATTTGAATTGTTTTGTTTATTTTATTTCTCCGACGTTGCCTCGTTTCGTTCCTCAATTTTACAACAAAATGTTATATATATATATGTAGTATTTATAATTTGATTTATCGATGCGACATAGATGATAGTCTATTGACTAATAACGAGAAAGAGAAGAGATCATATATTTTATTAACAGACAGTCATTTATATAATCGATATTGCGTTCCTGCCTCTAAACTCCTTCCTTGGGACACTGCTGCATTGCGTATGGGAAAGGGGACGGGTAGCCCCGACAACTCTCTCCTCAACCCACAACACAGAGTGAAATAAGGCTCGTTTCATATCGAGCACCATTTTTTTATCTCGAAAGTTGTTATGAATCTATTCGAACGTTTGGACCAATCACGATTCATCACCATCTTGTTTATGTGAAACGCACACAGATAAAAAAGATACGGAGAAGAAGCAGCCAAACTCATTCCCTTTGCTTCCTGGACCACAAGTAATGCAGTCTTTCCGATGATTCAAATAATAACATTTACCTTATAAATAAATAAGTCTAATCTTTAGAATAAGAAAGATTTTGTCTTTTTTAGTCATATAGTGTAATAATTTTAAAAGTTTATTTATTGTTTTTAATATGCTTGATTGATTTTGGTATACGGATAATATTTGAAATGTGGTAGAGATATGTTGTTGTGTCGAGTCTCACTATCTAAACCAAATATTAATTAAATTTTTTTTATAGTATTATATTTTAATTAATAAAATGAAATTATTTTTATATAGTTACTTAAATATAAAATTATAAGAACTATACCGCTTATAAAATGGAGCCAATCTCAACTTAAGATAATTTAAATTTTATCCAAAATACTGTCAAACTATATGAAATGCTAAAATTATGAAATTATTGTATATAATTAATTGTGTAATAAAATATTGCATGTATTTACACGTGCCATAGGCTACACATTACACGTGGACTGGAAGTACAGATCCACGTCCACTCCTCTCTTTCTATTTAGAGTTCAAAGTCATGTCAGTCTCGTTGAACGGATGACTTCTTCATTCAAAAAATAAAAAAAAAATTTTGTCTTCTTTGCAAAAATAAAAAATAAACCAAATTGTATTTGTTGATGTCTTAAATTTCAACTGACGATCTATATTTCTAACCATGAAAGATTCAGTGAATTAAAATGAGTAGTTTTGATGTATCTTCAATCTAAAAGATTTAAGTTAGATCGAAATTATCTCAAGATCTTCGTATGGGCGCACTTCAGGATGATTACTTTATTTCATGCAAATCGTTTACTTGTAACATATTGTTATTTGGGGTGGAATTTGTGGCATCAACTAGGGTTTGTTAATTTTTCTAATTTATTCCTTAGCAGAGTGCGAAAGATTACCTTTTGATTTATCAGAAGTAGAAGAAAAATTTAGTACGTTATCAAATCGAGTATTCAAGTACCAAATTTGGTTTATTTTATGTTGCTTCCTATCTAAATCTATTAGTTTCTTCGGTATTTGCAATAGTTCTTTATTTGGGTGGTTGGGATATCTCTATTCCATACATATTTGGTTATGAATTTTTTGAAATAAATAAAGTGTATCAAGTGATTGGAATGACAATTAGTATCTTTATTAGTACATTAGCTAAAACTTATTTGTTCTTGTTCATTTCTATAACAACAAGATGGACTTTATCCCGACTAATTAAGAATAGACCAATTATTAAATCTCGGATGGAAATTTCTTTTACCTATGTCTCTCGGTAATCTATTATTAACAACTTATTTTCAACTTTTTTTTACTGTAAAGGAATACCGATCAATTTCACTTGAATGTTCTTTGCATGCAACTCAAACAAATATGAAATTTCAAAGTTGAAGAAAATTTCATGGCTAAAGGAAAAGCTCGTGACTAAAATTCCATTAAAAACAATCTAATGACAAGGGATTTAGATAGCCTCTAATACCCATACTTAATAGGTCTAAAAAAGGGTAAAATTATTGAAAATAATAAAATTAAACCAAAAACTCTTCAATAATTTTTTTTTTATCATAATTTGAAATATTTGATTTAAAACATATCATGAAGTTTTAGGCCATTCATATCATAAACAAAACTTTAGAAAAAAAAAATACACATGAACATAATATTGATAACAAGATTTCTTTTTTATTATGAACAATTTTAAATATTTCTGATGAGTTTTGATTGATTTTATATATTTTTTCATACCTATCTCGATTAACACGACATAACTACAAAGAGATTTATTGAACATTCATCATCTTTTAGTTGGAATACATACTTTAATGAGAACTATGCTAGATTGACCTAATAAAATTATATTAAAATTGATATATCAATATAAATTGCTCTAAAAATTTGTCAAACATAAATTTAATAATTTATAACAAACAAAAAATATTATTATCAATAGTAAAATGTAAAAAAAATTCAGAACCGTTAATGACTTAAAATGTTTATCTTAGTTTCTAAATTTGAAAAAAAAAACCTAATTTGTTATTATTGTTATTTTATATCTAATATCCACTTACCTAATATTTTATTCAACCAGCTCGGAAACATTATAATGAAATATATGAGTTAATTAGTCTAGTTTTATTTAGTTACTTAATTTATTAATTTTAATGGACTAATTTGTCCATTATATATATTTTCTGATTTAGTTGCAATTTTCTAGAAAGAGACAAAATTTATTGGTGAACACTCGTCTTCATGGTGAAAGAGAAAAATACATATATTTTCATGAATTTCTCTCTCTCGTAAATAAAATATATTGGTGGTAGCAAAAGATAGTCAATATTTAAGAGTTTTTTTTTTTGCATAATAGGAGAAAGTTTAAGTTAAAATACAAATTCAAGAGTGAATATAGAACAGATATAAAAATTCCGAGATGAAAATGGGGATCAAAATAGAATAACAGAAAATTTTGAGGACCAAAATCAAATTACAGGATAGAATCTGAAAAATCATAACTAACTTGTCGTCGCGGGACTATAATCAATGCCACGACCGAAAATCTCGCCGGCGGGGATTGCATTTCCGCCGGAAATTGGGCCCTACCATATCCCGTTGACCAGGTCAAAGACTGAGGACTTGTATAAGTAGGCATCCCGTTCAGTTTTCTTCACCACTTCTCCCGCTCTTCTCAGTGCTCGGTGACCATGGCGGGGGAACGATTTCTTTTCTTCTTTCTGGTAAACTTCTTCTCCGCTGGTTTGTTTTTTTGGTGGCTTATTCTTCCTTTTTCTTCGCGTTTCTCTGCTGCGTAAGACGCAATCTCATTCGCATTTCGTTTTCTTCTTCTGTTTCTTGTGCAGCAAGTATTGGAGATCGAGAAATTTCTGCGAGAGTCTGGAGTTCGATTGCCGAAGGATGATAGATATGGCTAGGGTTTTTCGGAGACGGAGATTCGCGTAAGGCTTGAAGGCGAATTCCCGTCTCCATTGGATATCAGAGAGTTACGAGCATTGAACGAAGCAGAGGATAGGGCCGACTCATGACGATAAACTCCATGGCTACCATCATTCCCTAACAGTAATGCATTCCTCGCGAGGTCGATCTCCACAACGTCATTCGCTTTTTTTTGGCTCGAAATCCATAAATGTTGCCGAGCATTGCGTATAACGTTTGTTTTTTTTCACAGCTTTTAACGCTTCTTCGACAATCTCGGGCGAGTTCAGAGGTAGAAGTTGAGTATTGAACTCAGACACAGAGTGAGATGGTCGGAGTCGGATTGAGCAGCCCTTGTGGGAGGGGAATGTAGGTGTCTAATGGTAATTGGTTTGGTCGACCCGTCATTACGGCACTAAGCCCCATAATACACGATTCGAAGGATTTTACCATTTTATTCTAGCCATGGAGGAAATCGAATCAAAGAGCACTCGGTGACTATGGCGGCGGTGAGGCAATAACTCATTGTCTTCTTCTTTTTTTTTTTCTCTCTGTTTTGTTCTGTTTTACAGCCATTACTGTTTTTGACGGTGTATGTAGGTTGGGATAAGGGAAATTTTGTAAGAGTCGAGTTGGGCGCCGAAGGGAAATTCTCTAATTAGATCAGTAGAGTAGAGTTGAGTGCCATGGATGCATCGTTTTCTGACTATCTCCTACTGATCAAGACATACCAACTCTTAATTTCTATAAAACTCGCTAGAGAAGATGACTGACAGGTATTCTCCACTTGTTGTAGTCTCTTTTTTTTTTTCCTTCATTTTCTCTTCTATTTATTTTTTGGTTCAAACAGTAAATGTTGCAGCTAACTTTACAAGCCCGTTTGTCCAATTTGAACAAGGGAATGTACTAATTATTTTGGGTATAGACATTGACTTAATCGGCCTTTGTTTTTATTTAGGCCTAGGATATGGATATATTAGTTCTGGCATCAGCAGTATATAAACATATCTTTTTAGACTTATGAGTATGTAAGAGATTCGAAGCAGTATTTCATAATTTATTTTGTGACTCAATGACTGCTACCTCTTTAATTTTTCATGTTTATGCTTAATTTTTAGTTTAAAGGAGGAATTTGACTGAAACAAGATGTAGTAGAATGGGTTCTCAGGGTATCTTTGCAAAGCTGGTTTGGTTTATATGTTGCTTTTCATTATTAAGTTTCATCTTGCTGTCCTTTATATGGTGCTTTTCTTGTCTGCTTTTAGCACTTGGCATTTCTTCTTTGCTTAAGGACAGATCCATTCCTTCAATGCTTTTAGGTGTCGGGAATCTCTTTATAGGATACTTGTCCAAAGTGTGACCCGTTAGTCTAGCCCTAAGTCAGTGGCTGTTGCTCACTCGACACAATTGTACAAGGTCACCCATCAGGAGTGAACAAGAATTGGGGATAGGATGATGTTCAACTTTAATCCAATATGTGGACCACTCTGGTAGTTGGCTTGGGTTCTGGAAAGCAACTTTGGTAGTGATTTACTTCCAAGAGGATTCAGTGGTTACTTGCCTCTTCACCGGATAAGTAAGAGCTATTATTTATTTTCAGTGCTAGTATGCAAGATTTGTTAATACTTACGATGCTTATTGGAAATGGTAGAGATTGTTTGGTAATATACTTACAATGTTTCTTATTGGAAATTGTAGAGATTTGTTAATACTCTGGCTGGTAGTTGGCTTCAGTTCTGAGCTCATAAGGCAGAGGATGCTACGGTTTTGCAAGAGTATGACTATGGCTATGGTGAGTTCTTCATATTGTACCCTTTTATCTTTGTCTTGCCGTGATAATTGTTGGATTTATTTTTCTTACGAGCCCTAGATAATTGCCCTTAAAAGGTTAAACAAAAATGTTACCCATTAGGAAGCTCTTCACGATCTAATCTACTAGAGTCAATGTTTTGTAAGATTTTAAAACTGAAAATAATTTGATTTGATATTCAACATTATCTAGGTTGGCAATCACTTTGGATGGTTCTAAAAAGAAAGACTTCTAACCTAACAGACTAATTCGACATCCAGTTTTGACCTAAAATCAAGGTAAATTAGTCCATTCGAACCCAAATGTAAATGAACTAACGTCCTAGACCCAAATATAAAAATGACTATTTATATTCATTTGATTTTATGAGGACATATATTATATTAGGTCACATATATTATATGAGAGAGAGTGCAAAATAGGAGAGTTTTTTTTTCTAAATAATTTTTTAGTACAATAAATGTGAGGAGGAGGGATTTGAACATCCGATCGAAAAAAAGTAAGCTGTCTTAATCACTAAGTTAAGTTCATGTTGACAATATAGGAGTATTAATTATATAGATCTAAACAATGAAAGCAACATGTACTCTTAAGATGCCATATCATCGGGGCATTTGGAAAAATAAAATAGAAAGGGTATAAAAATAATACAATTTCTTATAACTTAAAAAGTTTGTAATAGATTTAGTTTGTATACTTAAAAAATATTCTCAAAAAGATTTTAATACACCCTTCAACTAATAGGCTCTTACACTGTATGTGTTGAATCAGAAGAGTTAACAAAGGCTAGATAAATACAAATTTAAAGTTTTGAAATTTTTTTTAAATACAGGGACAAAATAGTCACAAGTTAAACTTGTAATATAACCCAATAATAACTATTTCATTCCCATTTGCAATTGTGTTGAATTATAGGGGTTTTTTTTTCTTTCTATTTTTCATTTCTAAAAATTGAGAAGTATCCTGGATTTTTTCTTCATTTATTTCAAGAATCTCATCATGAATTAAATCCTAAAAGAATTTCACCCAAAAAAATATGTATAAATAAGAGAGAATATCCTGAACAAAATCCTATGTGCTTTTTTAGTTGATAAAAGAATAAACAAGTCATTTTCTGCCACTATTTCATGTGTCAAATGTTAGCCAATTACCATTATTCAATGGACAGTACCATTTAATTATAAACAAAGAATGCAATCCAAGAAATAATAATTTAACTGATTTTTTTAGTACAATAATTTAACTGATTACTTCAACAGACCTCCAGCAGTTTATAAATATAAATTTGAAAGGAAAAAAAAAACTAAAAACAATAAAAAATTTGATTAGGTCAAAACTACTGATGTGGAGCTTCTTATCGTGAAATTATATTAAAATGTGAAAATGAATGGGTTATTTATTTATAATCTTCCTATATTATGATTTGAGATATTTGGGGTTTTTAATGTTTTTAATTTAAATTTAGTAAAATTTAATCTTCCTATAAGTATAATCGTACTTTTTAAGTGTGTTACATTTTTTTTAAAAACTACGTTACATTCTTAAATTAATAGAAATAGTATATATTTTGAGTACATCATGTTAGGAAAGTGGATTCGAATTCTCAACTAATTATTGGTATAGAAATAACATATTAATACAACAAAAGACCAATAAATCTATTTTGAAATAGTTTGAAAATTTGAAATCAATATAAAGTAGTTTTAGAATACATGTCATCTGAGAGTTTTTTCTAAAAAAATTCTATATTAGTTTTTGAATATTTATGTTTATTTTTATTATTTACATTAATTTCTTTTTTCTAGTCCTGCAACTTGTAAATATTAATGACAAATTTAAAATTAGTTCTTAACTAAAAATTTAGATCAAACTTTTGTTTAGTTCAACATTATAGGGGTAGAAAATTTAATTTTCAACCCGACTATGGGTGTCTTACTAGGGAAGAAAACATAATTAAAACATTAGCACAAGAAAAAAAAAAACTAATACTTTTCTATTTTATTATATTTTTAGTCATAATTGATGTGAAAATGAGAGAGAATATAAATATCTTTTCTATTCCAAGTATATGGTTATCTGTATATTTTAATTGTGCAAGTGTCATTCTCACGTTAGTTGTCTTCTTACGTACGTTATTTTGTTTTCAACAATTTTGCAATTTATAATTCATTTGCATTTGCTTTTCATTCATAATATTTAAATAAAAAAATCCAGTGTCCCAAACGCAAACCCAGCCTTTTGCTTTTGATTTTCTCAGCTTCAACCTTTTTATTATTTTTATTTAAGTCATAATTATTTTATATGCTAAATGTATTGCCTAAATGTTATTGTGTTTCAACAAAAATATCCAAAGATTTTATTATACCAATGTAGGTTCGAGATCGAGAATTTTAGTTTATTAAATATTTCTTTTAAACCATATGCATTTGTTTGTCAATATTATGGGAATTTAGCTTGGTATAATTTTATTTGTTGTCAAAAAGAAAATACCAATGTTGTGTTTTGTATTTCTCATAATTTTGTATTTTTATTTTTTTTGAGTTCAACACGTGAGTTTGAAAATTCGAACATTTGATCTTTTTGTCAGAGCATATATACAGTTGAGTTATGCATAGATTGACACATATTTTTTTAATAGTATATTGAAATAGAAGAAAATAAATAATTTACTGTAATGAAAATCGACAAGATAAAGAATAAAATAAAGACTCTTTAACAAGTAGAAAGAGATCTCTGAAATAATGTAACTTTATTGTATTTTTATCCTTGGAACTTAGGTGGATTAGTCAATTTTAGCCTTTTGCAATTAAACCTCCTTAAAACTAAAATTTAAAATTGAACCAACCAACAAATCATAAAAAATTTAATTAAAAAAACTCAAAATCATGTAAAATAAATCCAATCATAGAAATATTTGAATCTAGCCACAAAATGGAATTGGTAATAAATGGTAAAACTTAGCCCAGAAAAGGAAAGAAAAAAAATGAAGGCGGCTCAAATTAAACTAATTAATTGCATCCAACACCTCTAAAAGTAGTATTAATGCTTATAAGAAAATAGAAAGTTACACGAGGATATTAATTGTATTATTTATTCAAGTATACAATTTAAATGGCACTATATAGGTCCCTTAATTTGATAAAAATGGCGGTCCCTGTAATTTGATAAACATATTGGGGCATAATTAGAAATTGTGAAAACTGTAGCGACTTTACTGCAACGGCATTAATATACTTCAATTGCCAGAGGCCATTGTCTTAATCGAATCGGACCCAAACATTCACGATTGCAGTTGATTTTTTGGTCCCATCTCTGTTCAAATGGTCGTGGAAAAGGAATTTCTCCATCATTCCCACGTCCCTCGCTCTCTTTCTTCCCTTCAGAGTGAAAGTAAAAGTCTCCGTTAGGGTTCATGGAAGCTTCCTTCTGAGGTCAGCATGGGTTTCTTTATCTTCATCTATTCTTCCAATTTCGTCAGAGTCTCTCATTTTGGTTCTGCTCAATTTTCCATTTTTGATGCTGAGTTCATAGTAATTCATCTTATTCTTCTCTTCCATCGACGTAGAAACTGGAAAGTTCGAGGTTGAAGTTGCTTTTATCAATTAAGATAATGGAGAATCCTGATCAGGATCAGCAAGATCCGAGGTACAACTCATCTGGGTATCTTTCATTTTAATCGCTCTCGTGGTTTTGGCTTTGCTTTTCAGTGTCTGAAGTGATCATTACTTTGTGGGTTTTCTTTTAGTGTTTCTCTACGTCTTGGTCTGAGTTTTTATCATTTGAGCTTGTGGAACCCCGTGATAGGCGGATTGGTCTGTAACAAAGTGCATATGGTTTACAAGATTTTATTTACTTGTTTCTATATGATTCTGGAATATGAATTACTTGTTTGCTATCCACCAGAGGTGAGTAATCAAATTTCATACTGTAAAAAATGGAAGGTGCAGGTGTCTGTGCGCAGGAAAAATTTAATGCTTTTGTTTTTGTTTATATTTGCTTAATATCAATAACTTGTCGGTTTATAATGTAGTCACTTATTTTTTATATGCTCCTTTCAGTTCCTTTTACATTTTAACCGAGGACTTCTTTTTGTTTCTTTATGTTTGTTTTCGTAAATGTACCATCTCGTTTCTTTTAGTGATACGATCAAAGACATTTTAGCTCCTTAAGGATGTAAATGGCTTTGTCTCTAAGCTAAAAAGATTATAAGAAATTTTATGGATAGACGAACACACCAGAGAAATGGAACTTAAGGTTTCTATTTTAGATTTAGATCAGATGCATCTTTCTTTAACTGTGCTCGTACTTTGGCAGTACTTTTAATTAGTTAAATGCTGAAGTGCCTGTTATTGAAGTTGAGCATTAAATTAGTTTACATTCTTTAATTGCTCCGTTTTTCATCTCCCTTCCTTGTTGACTCTCTCTCTCTTTTCTCTTACACTTTGGCTTGCGTGTGTTTTAATGATCATTGGCATATCAGGAGTGTACCTGGTGTGGAGGACACCACTGCAATGACTATTGAGTTTCTTCGTGCTCGACTTCTATCGGAAAGATCTGTTTCGAGAAGTGCAAAACAAAGAGCTGATGAACTAGCAAAAAGAGTAAAGTGTTTGGTTTATTTGTTTTGTTGGTTTTCTATGGCTTCTGTCTCATGTGTTTGAGCTGGGAATATTGTTTGTTTACACTACAGGTTGCAGAACTGGAGGAGCAGCTAAAGGTTGTGTCCCTTCAAAGAAAGATGGCTGAAAAGGCAACAGCAGATGTACTTTCCATTCTAGAAGATAATGGCGCTAGTGATATTTCTGAGACACTTGATTCAAACTCTGACCATGAAACACTATGTGAATCAAAAGTTGAGGATGACCCTGCAAGGGCAGATGTGAACTCCAATTCGACACGAAGGAGAAATGTACATGAAGAATATTCAGGTTCTGATATTGATACTTCTCCAGTGCTTGGTGGAAGCCTGTCTTGGAAGGGACGAAATGATTCACCACATACTCATGAAAAGTACAAAAAGATTTCCATAAGAAGTCGAAGCAGTTTTTCATCTATTGGTTCTTCTTCACCAAAACACCGCCTTGGTAGATCATGCCGCCAGATTAAGCGTAGAGATCCAAGGTATGCTCAAGATGCCTACCTTTTGTCCCTTGTTTTTGAAATTCCAGTTGACTTGGTGATAAAATAGCATCTTGGAGTGATATATTCCTAATTACTGACACCAAACTTTTCAAGAAATTTGTCTCACATGTTCCAAATCAAACTAGCTAGGTAACACCAACATGATACATAATCCAAGTTGTTTGATCTGCAACACCAGGAACCAAATTTACTGCTCCAACAATTGAGATTAAATTTAATCGCGAACAAGAAATGGCTACAATCTTGAAACTTCTCCTATTTTCTATAGCTAGGTACTCCCAATAATCATGATGATAGCCACTTGCCAAAGAATCCATCCACCATTAGAATGGAGGATTGATAAGCACTTCTTCAATGTCTCAACAATCTTTACACGAGCCAAACTGACACTAAACTTAAAAAAAAAAATTCTCACATTTCAAAAGAACAGTGACACCTCTTTCATGCATGATTCAAGTTTTTCGATCCCCTCTTGCACAAAACTCAGCACTAGGAATCCAAAATCGTAGATTATCTCTGGATAAAGTCCATGGTGTTACCCCTCCCCAAAGCAGCCAAGGAGGAGGATAAAAACATTTCTTCTTTGGCATTTCAGCTTTCAAATATGAGCAAAAGAGGGAAAACCCCAAGTGTGGGAGTTACAAAAAACATTTGAATGATATATCATGTTAGGCTTAGGCATGACTGAATATAATGAGAATAAAAAAGACAAAGAAACATTTATCCTTTAACCAAAATAATTGATTTCTATAAGTTGTTGGGAAAATTACAAAGTCCACCACCAAACTATTAGGGTAAGACTTTTAGTTGTTCAATCATGCCCTTAAACAATCAAGACTATTATAATGTCACTCCTGGCATTAAATCCATTACTTTTCCATTATATTTATTGAAGTGTTTCTTTTTTTCTGGTAAAAACTAGAAGTGGGGGAAAAAAAGAGAATTATTTCAAGTAAATCTTTGTATTTTTTGTGGTAAAAACTAGGAAGGGATAGAGAATCCCTCGTCTCATCTCGTTTCTCTTATTTTCATGGTGTTCTCTACTCCGCCATCTAACAAATTCTTAGTCTCTCTCTCTTAAGTCAATCCATATAGTTAATCTTAATATGTTCATATGTTGCCCCTTCTACAAGCGGTGGTGTTTAATTCTACAAACCTTCTGAATCTCCTAGCACTTTTCTACAAGTTTTCAATGACTCTTCTTTGTGGTCACCCTTCCAGAAAAAGGAAATCTACTTATCAATGTGACTAAAACTTTTTTCTGGATACTTGGATCAAAGACTCCTTTACAGAGAATGATTTTTTTTCTCTTTTTTGGGAATAATGTGAGAACTTTGACCTCTCTTTGGTGCTATTTGGGGAACAATTTATAACTGTTCCTCTTGTGATCTTTTCTGTTTGGAGTGATTTTTTATATGCTATATTCCTTGGCTGTTGGATAAGGTTGCTTGTGCCTTTTTTTTTTTTTTTTTTTTTTTTTGATAACTGAGAGTTGGAGCTTTGCTCCCCTATACCCAGGGGCATCCGTGCTCGCCCCAAGACCCAGACCTGAGAAACATCAAGGGTTTTTGGTATTAAGCTCACCGAAAGGTTCGAACTTGAGACCTCTAAGCCAGTATGACCGATCCTAAGCCTTTGTCAACCGAGCTTCCATTATGGGCCTGCTTGTGCCCTTCTTGTGTATTCTTTATTTGTTAATGGAAGTATTTTCTCCTATCTTAAAAAGGAAATTGAAACTTAAGTTGGATGTTAATATTGACTTGAAAAATATGTAGAATAAAACATGTGTACTAATCAATTCTTCTCAATTATAGTACTTGATGAAATCTACCAATTAAGAAATGCAGTACTTGTTAGTAATTCTATCAGGTGGCTTATCTCATAGGGGCAATAGATGATAGTTGGCTTCTTCTACTATGTCAGAGATCTTTAAAGTGTAGGTCAATCATTTGACACGTGTCAAAGAAAGATTGTAGAGCTTTGAACACCTTTTGAACTTTGTACTTGAAACTAATTATTATTTTTGTATATCAGACCACTAAACAGGGAGCAAGAGCTCAAATCTGAGGCACTCGTGGATAGTGCTCAAGAGATTGCACCATCTACATGTTCAGAAGACTCTCGAAATTGCTGCATAAATGGGCCTAAGATATTGAGGGATGGTCATGATCTTCATGAGGAGACACGCTCAGGTTCTTCACCAGATAATAGTTGTGTAGGAAATAAAGATAAAGATCATGATTTGGATGAGTACGAAAAGGTAAATGATATGGAGAAGGCATTGGAATGTCAAGCACAACTCATTGATCAATATGAAGCAATGGAAAAAGCTCAAAGAGAATGGGAAGAGAAGTTCAGAGAAAATAACAACAGTACTCCCGTATGTTCCATCAGAAACTGATTACTTGTCACAGTTGACTGTTCCTCTCTTTCAATACATCCACGATCTAATTGAGATTCCTATGAAAGTTCTACTTTGATGCTAGGATCATGCATTCTTTGTCATACTGTTCTTTTTCTGTAAACTTATGTAATGCCTCCCCTTTTCTTTTTGAAGCTAAGCTTGAGTTCATTAGCAAACACAAATCTTCACGTTATCATGAAAATAATTTTTAATCATCAGGACAGGAGTATGAATAAATAAATCTGTGGGATTACACAAGGTTTGTTTTCTTTGTTTTTTGTAATAATAAAGCGAACCATCATGTTTTAGATCACCACACCTTGAATGTTTGCACCCAATTACCGGCTTTAAGAGGATTGTGGCCATCCAAAGCATCTTTCTGCTTTACTAGACTGTGAATGTTAGAATATTCTGGAATAGTGGGTGGGGACAATATTTCCTTTTGGTTTTGAGCAAAGTTCATTGTTGTATGCACAGTGGCAGTTTCTTTAATAACTTATTCTTCTCTCTTGGTTCATTGCTTCTGTAGGATTCTTGTGACCCTGGAAACCATTCAGATATCACCGAGGAAAGGGATGAGATCAGGGCACAAGCTCCAAATCTGTCTGGTAATGCTTTCCTTGAAAATGAGGCTAAAGCACAGGTCGCAGTCGATTGCATCCCTAGAGATTCGTACCAAGCTCAAACCAATGGGCTTGGCCCCTCTTTGTGTGCTGATGTAGAAGAGTTGCAGGATCAGAATTCGAATAGCATTTCTACTTCACGGTCCCTTGAAGAATTTACGTTTCCTATGGCTAATGTGAAGCAGTGCCAAGAAAGCCAAGAAAATAGGGAACAAGAACCTTCTTGTACCTCCCAACTCAACTATGGACTCCCTGAGAGGCCATTGTCATCTCATGGTGGTATCAATTTCCATGAGAAAGAACCTCCGTGCAGCAAGAATGATCTATATGCATTGGTGCCACACGAACCGCCTGCGTTAAATGGTGTACTAGAAGCACTTAAACAAGCGAAGCTATCACTAGCAAAGAAAATCAACAAATTACCCTCAGTAGAAGGTGAATCAATTGGTAAATCCATTGGAACTCTTTCTGTTCCAAATGTCGGGGACAGGTTAGAAGTCCCTATCGGATGTGCTGGCCTCTTCAGACTTCCAACTGACTTTGCTGCTGAAGCTTCTAGTCAAGCAAGCTTCCTCAGTTCGAGTTCTCAGTCGAGATCAGCTACTCATTATCCAGGCGAGGGTGGTGCATTATCTGCAAATCCACAAATTTTCCCTAGTCATGAAAGGGAGGATAGATCAAGTTTTTTAAGAGACAATCGCTTACGGAACGGCCGTTACGGATTTCCAACCGACCATTTTCCTGAGAATGGATGGAACAATCCAGGCCAAGGCCAGAGGTATCGTTTTGATCGAAGCTTTGACGCAATTCAACCCTCTCCCCATGTAGTACACCAGTATCCACCACCTCCAGTATCCTCAAGCATACATCCTAACGAAAGTTTGTTAAGACCTTTTCCGAGCCGGAGTATAGAAATGTCTCCAGCCAACCAATATTCATATTATGATGACCAATATAGGCCAAATATGTATAGATAGGTGCATGTAGTTATAAGTATAGACATGTGATATATTCTTCAGGTTCCAGGAGAGCTGTTGTTCTTCTGCAACAATGGACTCGGGTGGTTCTGGAAGAAAATTGGCCTTCAAGAGGAGATTTGACCTTGTATCATACTGTAAGTTTGTAACATTACTATTGTTTTTCCTTTAATTTAAGGTTGTTCTGCTTAGACATGAGGCCATTTTCAACTTCCACGTAAAAAATAAAGTACTGGATGTTTTGAATCCTACACTTGTGTTGGACATTGTTTAAGATTTGTTTTTTCTGGGGTATTAAGGGCCGCACTTCTTGCATAATGCAAATAGTTTAAATGCTCGTGACCTATTCTTTCAAATTCTAGGCAGGCTTCACCCACTCAAAGGCATGAGACAAGGATTTTAAGTTATCATCTAACTTTTTAACTTTGCCATATTTCTCATTTTCCCGCCCTACGTCTAAGTCTCGATAGAAAAGGTTGGAGATAGTGACTTCTTGCTTCCGATTCATTTGTTGGCAGGGGAGTTGTACCCGTTCTACGTCCTTGCCACTAGAACCTCGAGTCATTACCATCACTAGTACAACAGACAAATATACAATTTCTTTTGAGAATAGTTCTAAACAAGCCATTACCATTAGATAACTTCCATGCAAATGAGAAAAAAGTGGCGTCAATCAAAAGTTAAAAACTTTAAACATTCTCATCGTTGCATCTCATAAATTTCTTTTGAGAATATAAACAAAGCACTAATTGAAATTC